GGGACTGGTGGGCAGCAGTCGGGCAGGGGACAGGTGGGCTCTGCAGGCTGACGCACCAAGGCTTTGGAGCTTGGCTACCGCTTCCCGACCCTCTGGGAGTGACGCGCGTGCATCACGGTGAGAAGCCCTGAGCCACGCACCTAGTGAAGCTTCGCAGCGGCTCCTGCTCCTACCCGGCAGGGCACGGCCCGTCTCTGGGCAGGTGCTAGTCACGGGCAATGTGTCCTCCGCTGCCCCGCTCTCTATTCCTGGCCATCGGGATGAAGAGAAAAAGGGGGCAGGAGGGGAAATGACGTGTTTTATGGGACCAGCATCCCAGACGCTGATGGCCTCAGCAGTGGGTGAGTCTGAAGAAGACTTTTCTTTCTTTTTCCTTTCAGTGTTGGGCTTTGCTCTCTGAGAGCTCCCGGCCCACCGAAGCTCTTTCCCACACTTGCAGGCACAGGGTTTTAACAATTTTGAAAGTGCTCGTTTTTAGAGACACAATTCCAGATGGGCCACACTCCAGGCCCAATTCAGACTGCTCTCGTCTGATGTGAAGTCCCAGAAAATCTATGGATGTGGCCCAAACTGTAGAGCACACTTGAGTGTGTGCATGCGAATGTTAACACAATCCCTCGGTGCAGGGTCACCTGCCCTGCGTCCTGGCTGTGAGCAAAGGCGGAGCAGGTCAGGACACCCCACTGGAACTTCTGCCACTCGGCACAAAGGCTCCTGCCTCCTGGGCTGTTGGAAGCTGCATGGAGCCAAGTCAATGGCTCATTATTATCAAAGGCAAGAAAAAGAATGCTGCCTTTGCGTTCAGTAGAAAGGGACTCAGGCGGAAGCAGGTGGAAGGGAAGAGCGGGAGCACGAACCGCCTACAGCGTCCGGAGCCGTCAGGACGGAGCCGGGCGCAGCCCACACTGCGCGTCATTCCTGCTCGCAGCTGCCTGCTGCCTTCCCGAGGCCTGACTGTGGCCGGGGACCAACAAGCCCTCTGGGTGACGCCCAGAGGCCTGCACACAGCCCCGCTGACCCCTCCCCACACACAGCTGGACACAGGAGACAGACGCACAACAGGAAAGGCTTGCTCAGCCCCAAACACACCACCTGACTCGGAGCCAGCCGGGGGAAGCCGGAATTTCCGACTTCAACTGACCCCGCCCTCAGCCTGGTCGTAGACTCAGTGCCCTCTTTGTCCCTAAATGAACAGGGGCGGTTGTCTCGCCGAGTGCCCAGGTGCCAGCTTGTTTACTCTTCCGTGTAGGGAATATTTCTGGGCCTGTCCCCTTTTTGTCACAAAGTACCTAGGACAATACTCCCCTTATAGGTCAGGGGAGGATTCTAGACCCTGCTCCTGTTCTGTCTTCCCCAGGACAAACACCTACCCTCAGCTTTATGAATTCCTTCCTATTCTTACTACCTTAGAAGCTATTTTCAGTTGATCTGACATCTCACGATCCACTGACAAAACAGCAGAAAGCGTGTCCCACGTGCACCGCTCACTGCGAGCTCCCTGCGTCCAGGCCTGGCCTGGACGTCACCCTGTGCTGCTTCCTGGCAGAGAGCAGGAGGGAGGAGAAGGGAGATGGGGGAGCTGGAGGGGAGTGGGGATGAGAGAGCAGAGGAGAGAGAAGGTTGGGAAGGAGGCTGAAGATGGAAACTACCGGGAGGGAGATGGGAGCAGAGCTGGAAGGAAGGAAGGAAGGAAGGAAGGAAGGAAGGAAGGAAGGAAGGAAGGAAGGAAGGAAGGAAGGAAGGAAGGAAGGAAGGAAGGAAGGCACCTACTGTGTGCCAGGTACTGTGCAGGGGCCTTTATGTATTATGTCATGTAACCCTTACAACAAACAGATGAGGGGACTGAGTTTTCAGAAGGGTTAAACAGCTTGTTTGGTCACTCAGAGACCAGATGGCAGAGTCACACTCAGACTCTGGCTTCGGGATCAGGGCTCCTTCCTTCACACTTCCTTCACACTCCTCTGCTCCCCTAAGACAGACAGGGTGGCGGAGAGAGGGGACGAAGGGAAGTAGAAGGGAGGTGGAGTTGATCAACTGTCCTCTGGTTCCAACTGAAACTGATTCTAGCTACCTTAGGTGGAAAGGTTACTTATTTATTTATTTCGAGTCAGGGTCTTGCTCTGTCGCCCTGGGTAGAGTGCAGTGGTGTCATCACAGCTCACAGCACCCTCAAACTCCTGGGCTCAAGCGATTCTCCTGCCTCAGCCTCCCGAGTAGCTGGGACTACAGGCACACGCCATGACGCTGGGTTAATTTTTCTATTATTGGAAGAGATGGGGTCTTGCTCTTGCTCAAGCTGGTCTTTAACTCCTGACCTCAAGCAATCCTCTCACCTTGGCCTCCAAGCGTGGCCAAGAGGATTACAGGCGGGATCGACTGCACCTGACCTTGATAGAAAGGCTTTTATCGTAAGGACAGCAGGTGGCTTTCAGAACTCAAAGGGCTGTAGAAGAATAGGGCTTTGAAAAGGACAGGAGCCAGTGAGTTATGGGGGCCGGGCAGGAGAAAGAAACTGATTAACAGCTTCATTGGGGTTCTGCCCCAGAATAAATGTGCTCCAACCACTTTCCTCTCCCTCTGTGCAAGAGTCAAAGTCCCAGGAGAGAGTCTGATTGGCCGCACTGGGGTTACGCGTGTACCTCCAGCCAGGGGAGAGCAGAACACCAAGATGGCGTGAGATCACGGAGGAGAGAGATCTGGCGCTCCAAATGCTGCCGTCACATGAAGGCAGATGGATGCTGAGTGCCCCAACGACTAAGGATGACCAAGTCACCAAACATTTTAGGTGCTGCCTCTAGGTAGCGGGGAATAAGATTCTGTCCACTTCAAACTGCATTAGGGCTGGGGCCAGGCAGTTGAGTCCTGCTCATGACATTGGGGTTGTCACTCTTATCATCACCATCTCTGCCTAGCAGAGAGGGGCCGGGACCCCGCCTCCTCCATGCCTGACCGCTGGCAGGGAGCATTTCTGCTTCTTGGAGGAATTAGTCCTCATTCAAAAAATTCATGCAGCAAGGTTGCAGATCAATCAACAGTGTGGACACGCTGTCTTGCAGAGACGTCTGGTAATGCAATGGTCTTTACAGTCAAACCTCTTGAGTTGAAATTCTAGCACCATTACCAGCTATGAGACTCTGGGAGAATACCCATCTATACTCTGAGCCTCAATTTTTCCTGCTGCAAAATGGGGGGAGGGAGAACATGTATTCTGCCTCCGTCTACACGTTGTTCTATAAATGAAATGAAAATTGTCGTAAGCTTATAGGCTGTGAGATAGACACAGATACAAAGAGGCATTGTTAGCATTTTCATTGTGATCAAGTGAGCCCCGGCTGCTCTAGGGACGTGGGTGGAGGCGGGGAAGGCAGGTACGAACTGTGGTCAATGAGAGTGGGGGCTGGAGGAGGTGAGGGCGCTTGTTTTCCGTGGAGCCAAGTGTTATGAGTAGATGATGCTCCTCCACATCTCTTTGCACACCCCAAGGCCAAACAGCCTGAGGGCAGAGGCATAAATTCAACCAGTAATTTAAAAAGCTCTGATTAGTCTCATCTGAGCTCTGTCTTCTTTACTGAGAACCCAACTGCTAAGCCTTTCCTGGCAATTAAACTCCAGGCTGAGCATTCGCAAAGCTGAGCTGTCTCCAAGCTTCCCTTCTTTTCCTTTCCCAGGCTGGCACTGCTCAGAGATGGAACCTGATGAAACAGCCCCTGTGAGCGCCCATTGCATCCCGCTGGCGCTCCTTCCTGCAGCTGTGCTCCGAGATGAGCCTTTCAATCATTGCTCCCTAATAACTCCGTCTCCCCTAATCCAGGAAGACGCGATTTCTCTCCCCACACACACGCCCCACTTCAAGCCATCTGCACACACCACAGGAGAGGGGGGTTGCCAGTAGCATCCCCACGTTCAAACCCATCCAAACCCTCCGGAATCACGCTATTGGCACTATCGATGCCTCCCTCCTGGGCGTGAAGCAGGAAGACCAGCCCATTCCCCTTTTTTATTCTAAATGTTTAATACAGGTTCCATGGACCTGGGCTGTAACCGTGTGAGCTTGGTCTCACATTAGTCATTTTGCTAATTTATCATCACCTGCCTCATCCTTGTCCTTTTGTGATTGTTCCAGACTTTCCCTTCTTAAGATCCTAGTACCACTCACATCTACACTGTTCACTCGCTTCCTGGAGGCTTCTTGAGGCTGTGGACTTTGTTTTATTTTCTGCCGTATCCCTAGAGCCTAGTGCAGTGCCTGCCCCCTCGTAGAAACTCAGTAAGCACTTATAACATGCACGCATGTGTGCCGAGGGCCTGCGTGTATAGGCTCTGATGCTGCTGTACCAGCGGTTCCCCCAGTCAAAGCTAAGCATAATGATAAGCAATATTTCTGGTAGGGCTTTATTTTCCTGGCCCGCTGACTTTGGGAATTGGAATCTTATTTATTTCAGTCACTTGGGGGGTCTTCCCTTAGAGATTTATAATTATAATGATATCCAGTAAGATTTTACTACAGGGCTTCTAAAGATAATAAAAGAATTGTTTGAGACTGAACTTACACTACGGAACAAGAATTATATATGGTTTACTGTAAAGTAAACTTAAGCATAATTATATATTGTGAACTACAGAGACACAGTGGGATTCTGATATTAATTTCCAATCACTCCTCACCAAGCGTTGGTGAAAATCCCTAGCTAGGTGTGGTTAAGGAAGTGTCTCTGTTTCCACCAGGTTTGGATTTATTGTCTACGTGTTGCTGGTCCTTGTATCCCACCTTCCAGGCTGTTCCCATTCTACACTGGTCAGTACTGTGGTATTCAATTCCTTGTACTGGGAATCCACTGTCAGGATTTGTGTTAGTAATTGCAGAGACTTTAAAAAAACTTTTTATTTATTTATTTATTTATTTATTTATTTATTTATTTATTTTTAGAGATGGGATCTCACTCTGTCAGCCAGGCTGGAATGATCATAGCTCACTGCAGCCTCAAACTCCTGGGCTCAAGCGAACCTCCTGCCTCAACTTCTTGAGTACCTGGGATTACAGGCCTGTGCAGCCATGCCCGACTACAAGATAGTAAATGTTACTGAGTGTGGGGACAGCAAACACTTTTCCATCCCAGGTGCTAACACCAGTCGATGCTGTGTCTAGGCTTTGCCTGAAAGAATGCAGCGATCATTTGGCGATGTTGGCCACAAGCAAGGGATGAGGAGTGGCGTGGCCTATGCCACATGTCTGTCCTCTTTGCAGAAAGGCAGGGATGTCATATGGATGAAGGGAGGACAGGATTCAAGTTGAAAAGAGCATGAGTATTTTAGGAAAATGCAAACCTGGCGGCAGAAACTGTGTTTCTTTTACTCAATATCAATTGGCATTCAAAATCAATTTCAAACCAACAAGGCTAGTGGCCCATTGAAAATAGTGAGAATGCCCGGCCTTGGTGTGACCTGTATGGGGCAAGATAGGTCTGAATCCAAATGCTGGCAAAATAGTCAACTGAGACTCAAGTTGATTTCCACCCTGTGAGTGTCAGCAGGCAGGATGGGAGGCGACAAACCACCCGCCCCTCCTCCCTCGGCCAGGTGCAGCCAACTTTATGGGCCAGGCATGTGATGAGAGTCTTGGCTCCAAACAGATTTCTGCAGACCCCCTCCCGGCTTCAGCAGAAGGGAAGTCGCCATTCCATGAGGGCAAATCAAATTGGATCCTGGGAAACAAAATGTTGGAGATGTGTAAAAAATTGTAATTAAAAAAATATTGAAATTTAAAGAAGAGGAGAGAACACTGCAATAAGACATAAATAAATATATATATATGTGTACCATGGAGAGTTACAAAGTAAATTATTGCTCATTTATCAAAATGAACCAGTGGGATAGAGATAATACAACTTATAAATTGCCTGTCTCTCTAAATTTTGATCCTAGAAGTAAAACATAAAATTCCTAATTAAAAATTCCAAATCTAAAATTAAAACGTCCAATTATAGGGACTGTTTAAATAAATGAAGGTTTATGTGCTTAATGAACTATTGTGCACTTATTAAATATTATGATTATTATGAATGGAAGGGTTTTGAACAACATTGAGAAATGCTTGGTAGGTCGTTAAGTGAAACCTTAGTATTGTAAACACAGGTGATCAAAACCAGAGAAAAAGTGTTTCACTGGAAAAATCCCTCTTTATTCCTTTCTGGAGTAAGAAAAGGTTAATGTTATGACTTATATGTAGCTATGCTATTACATCTTTCTCTTTCAGTATTTTTATTTATCTCTCAGGCATCAAAATATTAACAAAATTTGTGCTCAAAAGCTGTAACCACAGGCATTTTCTTTTGCTAGTTTTTATTATATCTTCCTTCTTGTTGATTGTAGCAATATCAGAGGAGACATAAACAAAAGTAAAATGAAATACCGGTTATAACTCTACCCCAATAGATAACATTTTGATGTTTTCTTTTTTCAAAATATTTTTAGGGATGGGGTCTCACCATGTTGCCCAAGCTAGTCTCAAACTCCAAGTCTATATGTTGCATCTGTAAGAAATGTTAGAGCATAGCCCACTCAGTCTCTGCAGAGGCGGGCCTCATCCTTTGTAATCTAATGAGCTCTTTGCTTTTATCCCAGAAAAACACAGAAAGGGCAGGATGGCTCATCAATACTCTTGCCCTTGCCAAATGATGTGTGGCCAGGAAAATGTCAAGTGGCCCTGCTGGAAGCACTTGGCCGGGAACAGGTGCTCATCTTCCCGGCACCCTCAGAGAGAAGGGGGTGGGGGTGCCAGCCAGGCTCCCCCGCCCTCCCGGTGCAGGACGCAGGCTCTGACACCACGCCAGCTCCCACGCCCACGCCCTGTGCTCTCCCACGCTGCCATGGCAGGGACGGGAAAGACAGAGTGAGGAGACGCAGAGGAAGATGGCTGCCTGTTCCAAGCCTCTTGCGCCCAGCCAGCCGCAGAGAGCGTGGGCGGGTGGGGTACTCAGCCCTGGGGACTGGGAGCTGCTTAGAGGCCCTGGATTCCTCTCCTTGGGCTGTTGCGATAAAGTACCAGGAACTGGGTGGCTTAAATTTATTCTCTCAAGGTTCTGGAGGCCAGAGGACCGAAATCAAAGTGTTAGTAGGGCCACACTCTCTCTGGAACCGCTGGGGGGGGGGGTCTTACCTTGCCTCTTCCAGCTCTAGGGATCCCCAGTGTCCTTGGCTTCCAGCAGCCGCACTGCAGCCTCTGCCTCTGTCTTCACGTGGCCTCTTCCCTCTGGGTCTGCGTCTCCACCGGTGCTCTGTGTGCGTGTCCCAACTCCCCTCATCTTGTAAGGCCCCCGGTCCTGTTACGCTGGATTAGGGTCCACCCTCAGGACTTCATCTGAACTCAATGACATGTGCAAAGACTCTGTTTCCCAATAAGGTCGCACTGACAGGTACCAAGGGGTGGAACTTCAATATGGCTTTTGGGGGGACGCAACTCAGCCCACAGCAGGCCCTAACAGGCCAGCAGCATCAATCCTCTTTCACTGTTTCAGATGTGTCTGGAGGGAGTGACTGAATAGGACAGACGAAAGGTCTGCCTCCCTAAGACACCTCTGTAACCCTCAGAACATCTTTCCTGGGGGATCCGTGACAAAGATCGCCTTGGAAAAGTGATTAACTTCCCTGGGCCTCAGTTTTCTCACTTAGTAAATAGGCTAAAGCAGTGACTTTCAAAGTGTTGTCCTTAACACCCTGGTTGGGACTGCATGACATTCTTGTCCCTATGCTCTGACCCAAGAATGCAAGTCTCTGCCTTGGATCCTATAGGTGATCACCCACGTTCCATGGGTTTCCCTTCTTACATACAATTAAAGGCAACCCACAAAAATTTGGTATTCATAAACTAAATTTAGTGTCCTTGGGGTTTATTGAGGACTCAGATTTGTCATTCTACACTACACTTTATGCGGGCAGAATTCCTCCAGTTTTTGGAAGCATGCTTTTTAGTTAGCTCGTCAGCAGTTGTTTTGAGCTATTGTGGTTTTCACTTGCTGTTATTCATACTTTTTATTTATAAATCACTATTGGCTCTGTGCCCTCATTATCCCTTTAGTCTGATGAGTGTTTTTGGTTTGTCCTCGAGTAGGTAATAATGAGTATTTACTTCAAGAGAATTTGGGGCCTATAACACTGTCCAATATCTAGGCATTATATGTAAATGAATTACAGTCCAATAATTAATCACTCATATATCACTGTTACTAAGGGTGATATACACATAGTCCCCTTACAGTTTGTATGGTAGGGTGACAAATCATCCCGGTTTGCCAGAATGCAGAACTTTCAATGCTCAAAATGGGAATATCCTGAGCAAATTGGCACAGCTGGTCACCCTATTATACAGGGACACTTCATTGGTGGCTTGCCTGCCTGTGGAATTGTGCTATTTTAATAACATTCATCTTACAATCAAGGTTAGCATAATGAAATTAGTGGGGTTATTTTGAGATCATAGGGCATTCATTTATAATATAAATTTGAGTGCATAATGGCAGGTTCTCCTCCTTTAGCATAAATAGGAATCATGTTTATTGCATGTTCCACAGGCGCAGTGCAACATGTCCATTTGATTCCTCTGTAATTCCCACCTCCTCCCCTTAAGCCCCACCCCCATAATTACCAAACTTGGGAGAGAAGAGAAATGCGTGGGGCATTGGTGTTCTTTGGCCCCACTCAAGTGGGTATAGTTTAAAAAGTTTAGGGACCCCTGGTGTCAGGACTCAGATCGCCCCCACCACCCTGCGGCCTCTAGTTCAGATCCATCTTGACCTAGCTCAAGAGTCTAAGCAAATGCAGAAAGTAAGAATCAGCTTCGCGAAGCATCCCTGGCAGTCCCTACTGAGAATTTCCCTCCCTTGGGCAGGCAGTTCTCCCCACCTTGGGAAGATTTTGAGTGTGGTCTCCTTGGATGGTGCCCACCACGGATTGTCTCATCCGGCTCCACTGTTTTACAGGAAGGCTGGAAGGGAGGAAGCAGAGTTGCTGTTTATTTACAAATCTATATTCAGCATGTAAGAACTCCGATTAGGGGCTTTTTGCTTTAAACAATTTAACCTGGTCCTCACAACAATGCTGCGAAGTTTTACTGACCCCACTTTACGGATCAAGAGCCCAGCTGCCTGCACCTGGCTCACCAGGTCCACCTCCCCCCACCCCCGCCCACCTCCGAGGTCCCAGGAACCCAGGACTCCACTCACCTCAACAGAGGTCACTTGAGAGGGACAGAAGCTTTAAAAAGCCCAAACAAACAAGAGCTTTGTGACAATTTAAAACAAATAAACAATTATAAACAAACAATTTAAAAATAAAACCAGCATGAACTCAGCCTCAATGGAAGTGCCTGATGGATCCCTCCTTAGAACTCACTGCCCCCAGTTTACCCCAAATCCTGGGCGACGCCTCCCCCGCCATTAGGGCTGCTCTTAGGGCACAGTTGTCTCACCGGGCGTCACAGCTACTGTAGAAGGTGACCGAGCCATTCGTGGTAAGCAGCTTTTCCCCACATACCATCCCCTTTTCCCAACTTGGAATGCCTTTTCCGATATAGGAGTGTTTCTGCCGTATGTTTCCGGGGTGATATCCTTGACAGTGGGTAGGTGACCGTGGTATGGCCTGATTCCCGCTCAGCCATGAGCTTTTTCTGTGCCCTGGGAGGGGACGGACACTCAGCATTCCAGACAGGGTTAGCAGTGGGCCTGCTATATATTTAACTGCTAATCCCACTTATGTGAAATTAATTTGCTCTGCTATTATAACTCACCTTGCTTCCTGCCCTGCCCGGCTCCTGTAATTTACACCTGACTGCTCCATTGTGCTCCTGCTTCCTGGGCTAAGGGGCAGCGGTGGGAAGCCGGGTCTCGGGGTGACTCACATCAGGAGGTTGCTCTACACAGAAGAGAGGTTTTCTCATTATAGACTGAGGAAGGTTATTATAAAAACAGTGTTGGTTTTTTCCTCCTAATAACCAGCTCCTCTTTAGGCTGGCCGTTTCCAAGGAAGTTTGTGTACTATTATTAAACTTCCCAACGCCAAATATGGTCTGCTCCAGTTTCTACAGCTTGCACACGAGTCTCTGGCTTCTCAAGCAGAAACCCAGTCCCTGGCTTCCCATCTGGCCACAATCCTTTTTTGAAATGCAGGTCACCACACAGTCCCAAAGCAGGGGAGGCATCTGGGAGGCTCTAGGGGACATTACCTGTAAGGTAATGGTGTTACAAACATCTCTAACAAAAAGCAGGGGCTACCTGCCGACTAAAGCGTCCCAGATCCAGGTTCCACAGCTAGGGTCTGTGTGTGTCTTTTGGCAGAGGTGCACAAAAACTGCTAGTGACAAGGCTCTTTCACAGAGATGAGCAGGAGCCACGCTGAGCTCCTGTTGGTGCTTCTACGTTGAGCTTCTGGTGGGGCCGATGGTGGGGTGTGAGGGTCTGAAGATCTGTGTCTAGTCTCTTGGTGACAAGCTCCTATGCTTAACTCACTTCCACCTCTCAACAGCTCAGCTGGGCCCTTAGGAGGGAGCCGGGGGAGGTGATGAGGGGGCAGCCCCAGGGTTTGCCTCTAGCTTCTGCCAACACTGCCAGTGTGTCCACTTAATCAGGTTAGGGGACTGGGCAACCTCAGCATGTGTAAAATCCCCTCCATCTTTTCCAGCAAGCTCTGCACTAGCTGTAGAACGAAGGCCACCTCCAGCCAGGCATAGGGCTCTCAGGAGCATGACCCTCTTTGTCGAGCCTCATTCCTCCCACTGCGCTTCACGAGTCCTCATCCCATCTGGCTGTGGCTCCTGTACTTTCTGCCCACCCCACCTCCCGCCTGCCACACGGTGCCTGGAAGAACTCGAATGCCCTCCTCGTCCTTTTGCTTATCAAGTCTAACCCACCCTTGATCTCACTCTAACTCTGTCCCCTCTGCGGTAGGAACTCCTTCCTGACCCTGTGAGTTCACAGGCAACTTGTCTATCCATCAAGTTCCTCTAGTGTGCCGTACAGGTTCATGCAGCCCTGGGGCTGTGAGCAATCCTTCTATGAATGTCTTCATCTTCCCCTCCACTAGCTGTAAATGCTTTGAGGTGAGAAACCGTTGCTTCACATCCATGTATAGCTCTGCATGGAGGGCCGTCAATGATCAGTGGGACTTGGCGACCACACAACCTGTTGTCTCCTAGTTGGATCCAGAGTGTAGCTTCTGGCTTAGAACATGACTTTTGACATCCAAAAGACCGCAGTTCAAATCTTGTCTGTGTCAACTACCAGCCCCATGAGTTTAGGCAAACTATTTAACCCCATTGTGCTTGTGTCCTCATCTGTAGAAACAAAGGCTGGTTGCAATTGGCTCCCAGGTTTGTTGCAGGTTTAAATGAAGTGATGCATGTGAAATTCTTGGTTGGTGCAATGCCCAGCACGGAATCAGAGCTCAATAAACAGCAGCTGTTATTATTATCTGGTTCCTTTTTGGGCCGGTGCCTCTTGCTACGGTGAGGCTCAACAAACATCAAATTAATGCGGATAGATACTGGTTTTAGGAGAGACATCCCAGAGAGAATGCTGAAGTGAGTTTTGGAAATCCACCAAGGAGAGAAATCAAAGGTTAACCCAATCGCATTTCTCCCAACTTTTCAACCGCCTGCAGAAAGACTCATTTTTAGCTGATTCTCCAGATATTGCAGAGCTTCCCCCAGAGGCAGGTGCAGAGGGATCGCGTAAAACTCTGAAAACCAGTGCCTGTCACCTGACCTTGGACGTAACAAACAGCCCCTGAGGAAGGTAGCTCCAATTACAGTCATGAAGTGGAGGAGCCCTTCCAAGGCAGATTGATTTATTGGACCAGAAATACAGCTCAGCAGCCCACACAGATTCCTGCCTTTGGCAACCTGCCCTGCGCTTCCTTCTCTCTTGCCCCGGTGCATTGATCTGTGTGTGTGAGTCGGTGCGGTTGATTGTGGAGGTGTGTGTGTGTGTGTGTGTGTGTGTGTGCGCACACGTGCCAAAGGCCCTGGTGGATGCTCCCAGCGTGGTGGCCTCTCACTGAGGGACGTCCAACGCCTTAAGCTGAAGGGAATCTCACTCCATGTCTTTTTGTGGTGGTTTTAATTTCATTCTCCTGCTTAGAATTCTGCACAGAATGCTCCAGAATGCCTCTCGATCTGATCCCTCTGTTTCCCAGTGTAGTAACATGTCATTTTGTAAGGAAGGAAGAAAAGTAGCCTTTGCTGTGTGCCTCGTGCCAGGCAAAACATCCCCATCCCCATTATTTGTAGGAAACTGAGACTCGGAAGAGTTAAGGAACTTGTGTAAGGTCAAACTGGCAGAGTGAGGATCCAAGCCCAGGGCTGGCGTGACACCCCAGCGGTGGCCGACCCCAGGTTTCACCTGCTGGAGGACGGACGGTCAGCCACTGTGGGGGCAGAGTCCAGACTGCAGAGTCATTTTAAACGTGAACACTTTGACATCTAGGGGCACCATTTCAATTCATATCATCACAGGGCTGTCATCGAAGTGTTGGCCAGGCCGCATTCTCCTCTGAAGGCTCGGCTGGGGAAGCCTCCATTTCCCTGCTGATTGGTTGCTGCAACCTCCCGTCCTCTGAGGGTGTAGACCGAGTGCTTCGGCTGGAGGCAGCTGGGGTTACTTGCCACGTGGGGTTTCCCTACACAGCAACTGCTTCCTCACAGCCAGCCAGGGAGACAGGGGCCCCTGTAAGATGGCGCTGTCATCCCCTGTGGCATAGTCACAGACATGCCTCGTCCTTATCATGTTCTATGGGTTAGAAGCAAGTCACAACCGTCACCCACACTCAGGGACAGGGGTTGCCCCAGGGCCTGGCCACCAGCAAGCTGGGATCATGGCACCTCAAGGGTCTGCCCACCACACCCCTCTGCTTCTTTCCCCTCTTCCTTCTCCTACCTTTAAACAACATTCCAAAATCCCATCCAATTACTTTGGGCTTGTTCCTAAGGTAAGATGGTTTCCATGAAGGTGGTAAGAACATTTTCCAACCTGCCACCACGTGGCCAGAAAGACTTCAGGCTGTTGCTGCCAGCCCACACTTTGTTCTTTCCTACTTGTCTCTCTGCCTCTGTTCCTCTCCACCTATCTCTCTCTCTGTCTCTGTCTCTGTTTCTCTCCCTCCCTCTTTATGGATATCAGGATGTATAATATGTAAACATTATATATACACGAGAAACAAATATATCTATACCCATTTATCAACAAAATTGGGATCCTACTGTACCCTACTTTTTATTAGTATTTTTCCATGTGATCCAAAAAGAGTACTTTAAAAAATGTAGTTTTTTAAATTGCCGTTTAATATTCCATCACATGTAGCTACCATGATTAATTTAACTAGTTTTCTATTTGGGGACATTTAGGCTGTTTCCAGCATTTTGCCATTGCAAATAACACTGCATGAATATCCTTGTCCCTAAATCATTCTAGATAGTGCTGATATTTTTCTTCGGCTAAGTGACAAGATGTAGAATAACCGACCAAGGGACATGGATGTTGGTTTTTGAGTCCCACTATCAAATACAAATTTATGTCCCTGTCAACAGTGTATAAGTGTGTCTTTTTTTTTTTGTCCACACTAGTAATTTTCTATTACAAATAATTTTTCTCAATTTTATAGGTAAAACATGATCTTTTGGTTTTAATTGCATTTAACTGATTCCTGGTGAGGTTAAATATCTTTTCGGGTTTGTGATCCATTTGTGCTTCCTCTTGTTTTGCATCTTGTGTTCCAATTCACATGTCCCACGCCCCCACAGAGTGACCTCCTGTACCCCTCGCATCCCAGCCTATACTGAGGGGTGATGCAAGGGTCCCACAGAAGAGCTCGGTGGTTGTCAACTGCTTTGCAATGGAACACGCATTGAAGGGCGCATGCTCCGAGGACTGCAGCTGGCCTAGTCGGCACATCTGTCATTCCTCCAACCGGGGCAGCTGAATTCCTCCCAGAGCCGTAAACCTCACATCTCGGTGAGACTCGGGTCACCACCGCCAGGGGCCCTGAGAGCAGGAGGGCTGGCTAGTAACGACTTAACCAGGCGAGGTTCCAGCGCACTTCGGGTTTGTACAGGACCATGCCTGGGAGGAAGGTTCCCTGCCGCTTTGGGGAAACGGGCGACTGTAAATCAGGTAACAGTGTGTCCCTGACTTATTTATCCTTGTAAGAGTTTTACATACTGGAGCCAGCAAGGGACCCATTTGCCCGATTCATGGCCAATTTGTATATCACTTTGGGTAAGGCTGACCCACCCTGCTCGGCGGGTCGGCATGTGCTGGGTCATGCAGGTGCTGAGGCACCCCGCAGTGCCAATCCTGCTCTTGTCCCTTGGTCTGAACAAAATGTCATCTTTCAGAGACATGAGGCATGCTTAGGAAATCACCAAACAGTGGGAAAGGCTTCCTCTCGGTGCCACACCTGCTCTTTCCCCCTCTCCTGGGCCTCTTCCAGCTTCCTCTTCCTTTAGAGGGAATAGAAGGAATGTTTGCTGGGACAGCAGCTGCGTCCTTGTCATCCCAGATGTGATAGGAGTCATTGGAATAGGAGCAGAGATGATAAAACAGTAGCTTTCGGGGCCCTGGTGCTAATTAGCAATCAGGCCCAAGCTGAACCCAACACTCCATAATAAATTATGGCCCATCCTTACAAGAGAATATTAGGCAGCTATTAAAAATAATGTTTTTGAAGAACTTTTATGACACTGAAAAATGCTTATGACGTAAAGTGAAATGAAAGAAAAATGTAAAGCCCACACAGAGAATGTAGAATACGGTCTCTATTATGCAAGAAAGACTAGCTGAAAATGTCATAAAACGGTCACTGTGATTATCTCTGCAGGAAAGATTGGGTGTGAGCTTTGTTTTTCTTTCTTCTTATATTTTTAAAATTTCCTGCATTAGACATCTGTGACTTTTATTTACCAAAAAAATAATAATTATTATTTTTAAAGACCAGGTCTGTTGTGATCTGCTCCAGGCCCCTGGGGCTGTCCCAAGTCCCCATTTGTGTGTGCTGCTGCCTCTGGCGTTACGGGTGTCAGGGACAGTCTGCTGCCGAGGCCAAGGGTGATGGGGACAAGGCAGCTGCCTTCGCAGAATATGAAGACACATCTTACTAAAGATGTTAGTCAGCCTGGACCGCAGTGCCCTCCTTCTTCCCTCCTTTCCTCTCTCTTTCTCTCTCTCTTTTTCTGTCTTCCTTCCTTCTTTCTCTCCCCTCCTTCTTTCCTTCCAGAAAACTGGCAATCCTGACCAAAACCAAATTGTCAACAAGCTCAAGAGGTCGGATGTCCCCATGCTGAGTTGGGGGGAGGGGAGGGCCCTAGTTTGGAAAGAGCTCGCTGGACTCAAACGTTGCTGTGCACTGTGCTGGTCGTGGAGCCTCCAGTGGGCGAGCTTCAGTTCTGGTGCCGGGGTAAAGTACAGAACAGTGAAAAGACTGCCTTCTGAAGCATGCCAAAATGACAATAACATCTCCAGTGACGTTTGCAGCGACACCGCCACCATGTTCTGAATGCTCATGATGTGCCAGACGCTGGACTAAAACATGATCTGTTGTTGTCTTAGTTGGCCTTTAAAGCAGCTCTTTTACAGATGAGAAGTCTGGGCTCATCAACATTACATAATGAGGCGCACATACCTTAATCTCTGTGAATCTGCCCGGGGAAGGGAAGGAGCCTCCCCAGCGAAGCTTCTGCCTCATCTGCAAGGGGGCTGCTCGGGGCTGTGGCCTTGGCCGCTGGAAAAGCAACTGGGAGAGCTGTATTCCCAGGGGACATTTGCATGGCTCTTTCTGACCCAGAGTGACAACCCAACTCATCTTAGAATTACATGGATTTATATTGAAAGGTTTTAGTGATGCAACAGGCTTAGCTCGTGGGAAGTCGGAGGCTGAATGTTCTGGAATCAGGAATGCTTGGCTCCCAGATGGCCTCAGTGGAACCCACTCTGCAGTCGCTCTTGATCGCCCTTTGCTTGACTGGAGGCTTTGATGGCTGGAGGTGCCCAGCACTGTTCAGGCCCACAGCCCCTGTGGGTGACCTTGTGGGTCACTGGGGAATTGGCCCACTCTTCCAGTTTGCCCGTGCTGTGGTGGCAGGTGACTGGGCCTCACCAGGGCAGTCCTCCAATAGCTGGGAGTGGGCGCCCCAGCCAGGGAGAGGGAGGAGGGGATGCAAATGGACTGTCTGAGCTGATCTGGTGAGAACACGAGTGTCCCAAACGCGTCTATCCCTCCTATTATTACACAGTCCTACTAATGCACAGAAAAAAATACAAGCAAACTCTCTGTATGAAATATCTTTTTTAATAAAACAAACTAGTTTATTCATGGAGGCATGGGTGCAAGGTCAATTTGTATTAAGTGTAACTTTAGGTTTCTTCTAAAATAATGGCTTGAGCCATGTGGACTTGACTGCCTCAAGTAATATCCTTCGGAGCCGAGCTTCCTGGGAAGCTGACCCAGTGGAGCACTTAGAATTCGGAGGTGAGTTCTTCCTGGGTCAGAGTTCATTTGGGGCACATGCTCTTGAGGTCCCTAAAGACCACATGGGCTGCATTTCGTCCAGCAGCTCCCATGACGCCTCCTCCTGGAAGGGAATCTCCTATGAACCAAGGCTCTGCATAAACCCCCAGGCAGCAGCAGGAGCAGCTCCCAGACGGCCCGTGACAACAGAGTGCACTGCATGGAGGGCTGTGCGGGGCCACGGGCAGTGGAGTCGCCTGGGACCACTGTTATAGCCAACACTGGGCCCCCTCCGGGCTTCCTGCTCCAAGGGGGTCCAGGTCCACAGTTCACAGTCTCAAAGTCTGAGAGTCTACGGGCTAGGTGCTTAACACATGAAATTAAAATTTGAGAGTAAGGCCCGAAGAGAAGCACAGACCCTTTCTGGGAGGCTGGGGCCCATGGAGCTCAGAGCAAGTGTCCGTATGAAATAAATGGTAGCCTCAGTGAGATCAGCTAGGCTTAGAATAGGCACAAGAAAGATGCTTCCGGGTCTAAAATATGGATAGGGTTAGGGACATGGGTTTCTCACAACCCCAGCTTGGAAGGGGTTGGAATTGGAGAGATACCCCCACTGGGACACACCCTCGAGCCCCCTGAGGGGCAGGTGTGAGTCCAGCTGGGGGCGCAGTCACTCACCGGGGTGGGCCCCACTGCCGCAGAGGTACAGGCCCGGGAGAGGGCAGCGGTAGCCGGAGTGCAGGGGCACAGGGCGGGCGAAGTAGAGCTGGTCCAGGGACAGGGCACCGTGGAATATGTTCTGCGGAGGCAGGGCCATTGTCATTGACGTAGGAGTGCTGCGTCTTTGCTTCCCTGGCTGGGTTTCCTCCCCCGCCCTGTTCTCCAAGGAAGGTTCTTTTCCTTCCAGGGTACTTTCTTGGGTTATTAAAATGCAGACAGGAAAGGAGATGAGATAGAATAGGCATATGCCCTGGGGCTGCGGGGCAGTTTTCCAGAGGTGTTTTTCAGGAAGGAAGAAGGGTGGGCGGCATCTTCAGAGCATGAGGAAGATGGATGGGAGAGAAAAGGGGCGACGGTAAGGGATTTGCTGTGGACTATGAATCTCCCGCATTCTGTGTCAAAATAGGAGGGTTTGACTTTTTTAGCCGCCGGCACACGTTTCCGCTCAAACATGTTTCTTTGCCAAGCCCGGACCCTGGTGTCCAAGCTCCAGCAGGATGACAGTGAATGGCAGACAAAGGGGCCACGGTTCTGCTCGCTGGCTGGGGTGACACCAGCCCCAGGCTGAGAAGGGAGGCAGTGTGGGACAAGGGGAGGGTTGGACCCGAGGGGAGGTCTAGACGAGACCAATGTCTGCAGGACGTCACCCAGGAATGTCCCTCCGTGCCCCCTCACCTCGTCCCAAACTGTGCCCCTGGCCCACCCTCAAGTCCACCCCTCCCCATCTCCCTACCTCAGTGGCCGACACCTGCTTCCTCCCCTTGGCCTCGGCCGGCCCCTCCAGACTGCTCAAGCCACCTGCCCATGCCCTCCACACCACCTGCGCCCCCGTCCCGCTGCCCGGCCTGCTCCACTCTGTGTCCGGACGGGCGCTGCCCAGTGAAACATGATGGGCACCATGTATGTAACTTTAGATTTACTAGTAGCCACATTTAAAAAGGAAAAACCAGCTGGTGAAATTAATGTCAATCATGTATTGCATTTATATCAAAATATATACAAATTGTTATCATTTCAACATGCAATCAATATAAAAGTTATTAATGAGATATCTTACGTGTTTTCCCATACTCCATCTTTGCAGGCTGTGTGCATCCTACACTCACAGCCTAGGACCCCCGAGCACTCTGTAGCCACGTGAGGCTGCTCTACACAGCCTCCTAACGGGCCTCCCTGCCTCCCATCTCTAGTTTTTGTTAGATCGAAGATCAGTCCGAGGACACGCTGCCTTAAAGAGGGGCTCGCTCTGAAGAAAGTGAGATGGGAGAGAGGACGTGGACACTGAGGCAGAAGGGCCACAGTCCCGGCGACCTTCTCAGCTGGTGCCGTCCGGCCTGGGTCTCTGTCTCCCTCCTCCCCCTTCCCTAGATCTGACCGCCTCCCTGTCCCCTCTCAGCCATGGTCTCTGCCACTGTCCTCCCGTCCTGATGAAAGCTGGCTTTGGAGGGACAAGATAAAGCCGAGAGGGCACAGTCAGGAAGTGGGGGTGCAGGAGAAGAACATGGGGAGACTCCCAGGCTTACACTCACCCCTCCGGGAAGCCCGAAGATTCTCTCCAAGTCTGGCGGCGTGAGGATGTCTCTGCCCACCACAGAGGCCTTGAAGCCTGGGGCATAGGCCTCGATCCAGTCGAACACTGGGTGCCATGCAGCAGAGAAACGAGGGGGTAGCAGCAAGAGGGGGAGGCATTATAGTTGCACAACTTGGTGAATTTACTAACATGCACTGCTACATACCTATAAGGTTTTATTTTATCATACGCAAATTATACCTCAATAAGTAAAAAACAAAAAATTCAGTCTGCAGGCAAATAAATAATTCACCCCCAAATCTATGGGTGAGCCAGGCCAGTCCCCCACTCTTTCCCACCTCCTTACCCCAACCCTAAACACAATGTTACCGTCTCCTCTTAAATATACAAGGCTTTTTTCACTTCGTCACTTTGCTCAAGCTGTTTCTTTTGCTTGGAATGAACGCCCTTTGCTGCCTGGGCAACTCCTATTCATCCTTTAAAACCTTTCTCAGTTAGTCTCCCCCACTGGTCTGTGAGCAACTTGAGGGCAGAACTGTGTCCTTTGAGCTTCCTTGGCCCAGCCTCTGAGCCCCGCAGACAGTCACTGAGCTGACACGAGGTTGCCTGGGTCCTCCCCTCCCTCTGGGACAGCACCTGCGTGTGCCAGTCCTGGAGGGGCAGTCGGGAGGAGAGCGCCCACTCGGGTCATGGCCCGCTGACACTCTGGGGACAGAGCAGTGCAGCCCTTTACCTTTGTCTGCGTAAGCGTTCCTGTCCTGCTCGTCCCAGACCTTGCCCCCCGCCAGCGTGTAGGGCGTGTACTGCGTGAAGAGGGAGATGACGTGGCAGCCGGCGGGTGCCAGCGTGGGGTCCAGCGCGGATGGGATGCACAGCTCAATCATAGGCCTGTGGCCGGGAGGGAGGGGAGGGCGCAGGTCTGAAGAGCAGCAGCACCCCCAGGAAGGGCCCCTGAGGTGGCTGGGGACACAGGGAAGGCCCCAAGAGAGAGGACACCAACACCGGGCAGTTGCTGCTACAGGGCCACTGCAGTTGTTCACCGCAAGGGTGTCCGGACCACGCCTGAGGAGCCCACCTATGCCCAGCCCTCGGGTGCACGGCCTGTCCTTGCCTTGCTCCACCACCGCTGTGCTCCAACCCGGGCGCCCAAGCCAAATGTCCCCAGGGTCCGATGGACAATGCAAATGCAACCTGTACAGGGGCCTGAGCCAGGGCGGCCAGATTTCAGCCAAGCTTAAGCTGCCCGACTGCCTTTTCCTGAGGAAGCCAACGAAACAGCTGCTGGGGCCGCCCTGACACCCAGCAGAGCTGTGACCTGCTTCCTGCCCCACCACCTTTGCCTGCCACACCTTTTCCACCTGCAGCACACCTTCCCCTCCGATCTCCATATGAGCATCCTCCAAGGCCGTGTGAAGGGCCCCTTCGCCCTGCGTCCCCCAGTTACAATGTCCTCTCTGAGCTTGGAGTCCACCAGGCAGGTGGGCTTGTCTCTCCCCATCGGATTCTGCAATAGCACCCAATCACAACAGGTGTCCTGCCCGCTTCTCCACACAGTGGCCAGGGTGGTCTCTTTAAAGTAGGAATCAGGCTCTGCACAAACTCCCCTGGAGTAAGAGCCGAGAGCAGCTCACTAGACCTCACAGCGTCCAGCAGCTGTTTCTCAGACCCTGCACTCCAGGTTCTCTGTCTCCAGCCATCTGGCCTCGTCCCCCGGCCTCCAGCACAGCAGCACACTCCTGCCCCAGGCCCTTTGCACCTGACCTTCCCTACATCTAGACGCTCTTCCCTAGATGCCCACAAGATCTGCAGTCTCCCTTCCTTCAGATGCCTGGCAAGGAACGGCAGACCCTCTTCCCCCAGTGTGCTCCTCTCCATAGCGCTCATCGTCAGGGCCGGCTGGTCCTGCCTCCCCCCAGAGAAGGTCAGAGATCCGAGGCAGAGGCCCTGCTGACCCTGCTCACTGCTGTGTGTCCAGGTCCTTGCATCAAGCCTGGCAGAGGAAGGGCCCCACGATAATTATGAGTGGATACATGTGCTTTGCCCCCTGCCCTTCTCTGCAGGCACATGTCTTCTTCACCGTGTGCCGTGGACACTCCTGTGCTGTCTTGTCATGAGCTGTGTGTCGATTTCCCACCCCTGCCCGGCCCCAGCTCTCCAGCCCGCACACAGTCCCGTGCCTGGCACTGAATAGGTTTCAGCTGTGTTTGTCACACAATGGGCAGGATGGAAAGACACCTGCTCCTACAGCGTCCCCGACTGTTCCCAGAAGGATGGAGACAACTGTGGCTGGGGGTAGGAAACACATTTAGGAGTTGTGCATGAAAGCAGCTTACAGAAATAAGAGAAGACGAGGGACAGGGACCTCAGTGGGTGTGTGCCCTCTGACGGGCTCTGAGTCAGAGAACCTCCTTTTCTTCCCCAGAAAGCATTTCCTCCCCTTCCTCCCCAATGCCGGTGCTGTCTCTGCAGTGCTCTGCCCCTTCCGCTAACCTGCGATGCTCCCGTGTGTCCTGCTCTTCACCCTGTGCTCACCCTGGTCCTCAGATTTCTTGCCTGGCCTGCACTTCCTGCACTTCGAATGTAAATATGGATGCAGGAAAATCCTAAGCCACCGTGAAGACTAACACCAGATGGAAGAGGCCACTCCCTGCTGTGTCTGGACATGGACAGCCACCCGCCACCCCGGGCCCATGTGTAAGAACATCAGGGGATGCAAAGCCCAGGCCCACCTGCGGGAAGGCAGGCCGTCCATGGCGTCTTCGAAGGCCTGCTGGAGGAGGAGGCTGTCCTCGCAGTTCAGGTGGATGGAGCACTGGTGATGCGGCAGCGGCCGCCCCCCGGGAGCACTGGGGGCTGCCAGGAAGTTGGGCAGCCTGTCTACAGCCACTGAGGGGCACAAAGGGAGGGTCAGGTGCCAGCCGCCAGGGCCTCCCTCTGCAGCTGGCACCTGCTCCTCCAAGCAGGGGACTGGGAGCAGGAAAGTGTGAGCAAGTGTTTCACCTTCAAACTGGGGACAGGCGGAGGGAGGGAAGGGAGATGAGGGTGTAGGCTGGTTGTTCCCAGACCTGGACAGTCCTTACTCAAATATGTCAAAAGAGCCAGCCCTGCAATCTGGTGTGCCTCTTACCATTGATCTTGGTGACAGGAGACCGGGTGTCCAGCTGAGAGATTCTTTCCACGAACTCCTCTGGAAGCCACTCCTGGAAGGACAAAGCCCCGTGAAAGGCTGGAGATGTCCAAGGCCCCAAGGAAGCTGCCTTGGTTTCTTTGCTCACGAAGGTCTCTCAACCTCCGCTCCCCAAAATACTCTTTATCCTTCAGAGCTCAGCCTAAACCACCTCCTCTGTGAAGCCTTCCTGGATCCCCTCCTGCTCAGTACCAACCAATTTCTTGCCCTGTGCCCCACAGCAGTCCTGCCTGACTAGCTCACACCTCTCCCTGCCCGGGGGAGGGCCACGTTTGCAGGCTTCCTTTCGCTTCTTGTCTCTGTGCTCCTGGAAGTCCCGATTATCTCAGAATGGCCTTTACAAGGTGCTTTGCACTGATGTGTGTTCAATTTTACTAGTGGAATCACTCAGAAAAAGTGGTGCCTTGTTCCTAAGAATAGCACCAAGAATGGCTGGGAGCTCCGTGCTCATATACACATTAGCATACATTTTGGGGACAGGAAAGGTAGAGTCAATTGCAAAACATTGCCCCAAATGCTCGCCCTCCCTGTGTGTGCACCCTCCTCCCTGTAACTTGGTGGTGCCCTCCCACGCTGGCTCTGGGCTCAGCCATGACACCGGCTTTGGCCAATGCTAGGAAATATGATGCAAGAGATCAAACAATACGATGCCTGCATGATGGCGCTTGCTTTTGTCCTCTGTCAGACCCTGAGAACATGCCTGGACTACAGAGCTGGAAGACGAGAGACTCATGCAGTGGAACTGAGTCACTCCCATTGTCCCAGCAGAGACCATCCTGGACCAGCCACCCCCAGCCAAACGAGCGAGTCCCGCCAAGGTCAGCAGAGCCTACTCGCTACCTCCCGGCTCACCGCACGGGCACGAGCAAGCCCACAGCAGCTGAAGTCAGCCAAGATCTACCACATTCTCCAGATCTGGGTGCTAATACTTCTTGTTGTATGCTCATAAGTTTTGTGGTTGCTGGTTCATTGCTTATTTAATAATCATTAATATTACAATAGATAATTGACAGAGGGAAGCAATCAGGACAGCAGGAAACTTGTGGAAATAACTCTGGGTGGAAAGTCAAACGTGGGTTCCAGCTCTGGCTCTGCCCCTTGCCAGGGTCACCACGCCTCTCAGGCCCTTTTCCCTCACCTGTGCAGCTTCTTCCCTGTTTTCCACCTGCCCGTTACCCGCCTGCTTCCCCAAGTACAGAGACTTGCACCTGCGCCTCGCACTCTGAGGCTCCGGTTTTCCACCCCGTCTTGGCGACATCCAACCTGCACACGCCCGCCTCACCTGTGGCACCAGCTTCAGGAAGGTGACCTGCGGCGACGCGTTGGACAGCACCACTCTGCTCCTCACCTCCGTGCCGTCTCGCAGCACGACTCCTCGCACACGGCCTTCGCTGCTCACCTGCACTTTGGCCACCGCCTGGAGCCCACCAGAAAGAGGCCCCAGGACCCCCAGGAAGGGGGATCCAGGTTGGAGCTTGTAGGATGTCCCCTGTCTGCTGCTCCTAGGCACTCACAGCTTCCGCGTCCCAAATCCACCCACCAGGCGCTGCAGCTTCTCCATGAAGCCCTAAGCCACCCGCCAACATGAAGACTCAGCCCAAACGTGGCTTAGTGACCAGCGAACTCGAAGGGGGTGGTCAGAAGAATTGGGACCTCACTGGCAATGGATCAGCCACCAACAGGCCGTGCAACCTTAGTCTTGGATTCGGAGCCCCATCTTGTTCAGCAGTAAAGCAGGGGACCCTCCAAATCCTAGGCGTTCTATCCTGGGATCTGTGCCCATAGTTGGGGTGGCGTAGGGAAGCTGTTCACCTTTTCAGTGAAGATACTTGCTCCGTGCGTGGTGGCCGAGCTGGCGATGGCATCAGAGAGGGCACCCATGCCCCCCTGGACGTAGCCCCAGGCCCCCCGCATCCCTTCCAGGCCCCCCATCACGTGATGCAGCAGCACATACCTGAGGACAGACCTCCGAGTCAAGGCCTGCAGGTGGGAGTTAATCTCCTGGAGTTCTAGGTGCAAATATTCCTTTCCATCTTGACCTTGAGCTGTCCCTCTCCCATTGCCCTTCAAGGAGCCCGAGCTCTTGCAAGAGCCCTCTGCCTTCTCTCACTGCACCCTCTCCCCAGCAAGCATCTGTGTGCCCAGCTCCACCACCGATAACACGGCGGTGACACCCACACCCGCCACTCCAGGGCTCTCCTGAGCCCCAGCCCCTACATGCAGCTACCCACATTTGGGTGCTGTGCTGGCAGGCGTCATACAGCCTTCAGCTTGCCCCTGGTCCCCAGCCTGTTTCTCCTGCAGTCCTCCCTATCCCAGTGAAAGCTCCTTCAGTTTCCATCTGAAACCAGGTGTCAGCCTTGAGCCCTACCCGTCCCTGCCCACCTACACCCAACACCACCACCCACTGTGCCGTCCACAGACCCTCTGCACACACCCGAGCCTGCGGCCTCTCTCCGTCCTCGCACCGCGGCAGTGCTGCCCTCCCCGATCTCCCACTTTCCCCTGCAGGCCTCTGTCCCCCTGCAGGCCTCTGTCCCCCTGCAGGCCTCTGTCCCCCTACAGGCCTCTGTCCTCCTGCAGGCCTCTGTCCTCCTGCAGGCCTCTGTCCCCCTGCAGGCCTCTGTCCTCCTGCAGGCCTCTGTCCCCCTGCAGGCCTCTGTCCTCCTGCAGGCCTCTGTCCCCCTGCAGGCCTCTGTCCTCCTGCAGGCCTCTGTCCCCCTGCAGGCCTCTGTCCTCCTGCAGGCCTCTGTCCCCCTGCAGGCCTCTGTCCTCCTGCAGGCCTCTGTCCCCCTGCAGGCCTCTGTCCTCCTGTAGGCCTCTGTCCCCCTGCAGGCCTCTGTCCCCCTGCAGGCCTCTGTCCCCCAGACCCCAGGCCCTCATCTCAGAAGCCAGCCTGCTGCAGCCGCTTCTGCGTCTCCTTCCAAAGTGTCTCCTTCCAAAGCCTCACCAGCTGGGCGCTGCTCTCAGGGGAATGCCTGTCTCCTCAAGTGGCCTCCAGGGCTGCTGGCCAGCCTGGCCCTGGGCACACCTCACACCCCACTCTCCTCCCCAGCAGGCCTCGCGGTTCCTCGCGTGAGTCCCACGTTCTCTGAAGCCCAGCATTTGCACCTGCTGCTCTCTCCCTTTCCCCCTCGTCTTTTGTTTAGCTAACTCCTCTCGGCCTTCTGGCCTCAGACCAAACGTGTCTTCCTCATGGAGGCCTTTTGGCACCCTGGCCCGGGCTGTCCCCCCACTGTGCCTCCTGTCACAATGCTCAGCCACTTCACTGCCATCACTCGCTGTGTCTGCGTGCCCCGTTAGGGTTTCTGCTCTGTTCACTACCGGCCCCTTGCACGTTGGCCCCAGCACCTAGCAGAGGCCAGTGCTCCACAAATACTTCTTGAAACAATTAATGAAACAAATGACTTAAAGGCACATTTCACAAACTAAGCTGTCGCTAAGCCTCCCCGAGACCCAGGGACAGAAGAACAGGAGGCCCCGGCTGGAAGGTCCACGTTGCCAGTTGATCACAGGCTTGGCCAAGGTGGACCAACTGCTGCCGAGCCCCCTTCTCCAGCCCTGGCGAACCCAGGGCTGGCTTAATGTGTGTTGAAAACCCCGTCCCAGGGTGCTCTCATCCCTCGAGAGAAAAGCCACGTAGACAGCTTCTAGCTGCAACTTCTGGAGCACTGGAAACGGCCCCACACTTGGCAGCGTCCTTTATCCCAACACACACACACACACACACACACACACACACACACACACACACACACACACATACACACGCGCCCGTCCACGTCCACGCCTGCTCCTACAGGGCTCGGTAAGTCAGTCCGCGGCTGCAGACTTTGCTGTGTCTGACTGCCACCTCTTGGACTGGGCTGTAAACACATGCCCCTCCCGCAAAGGGACAGGCAGCTCCCTGTCCCTACAAGGGTGTCTGTGTGTGCCCTGGGGCCGGGGGACAGGAACAGGGGGAGGAGGGACTGCAGGCCTTTGTGGGAGTTGGTGGGGGAGGGGAGGGAGGAGGGGGAGGAGAGAAGACATTAATGTCGAGATATCACAGTAGGAGATGGTGGAGAGGCTTTTCTTAGAGAAGCGATAGAAAGCAGTAGCCGAGAAGGAAGAAATGGGGGGGGGGCAGTCTGACAGCTGGGGCTGTAAATCAGCTCTCCACTTACTAGCTGTGTGACTTTGGGCAAGACACTTCCCCTCTCTGAACCCCAGTTCTCAGATGTTGCTTAACCATGTTTGAAGTACTTGGCTTAGAACCTGGCTCATTGGGCGAGCTCAGTGTTCTCCCCCTTGTTGGGGAGTGTGCCCTGCTTCTGTGAGGGCCTGTGCCCTACCTGAACCCCCTCACTCACCCGCTCCCCTGAGTGCGGGGACTTGCCATGGCTCCAATCACAGCATCTGTTGCTAGAGTGGCTTTTAGAGGCTCTGACTCAAACCACTGATCCAGCACCTGGACAGCAAAACAGCAGGGAGAAGGGCTCAGGGCCCTCGATGGGAGGGGGCCTGGTCGGGGGGAGGTGGGGGACCGCTCACCTTGGCAATGGGAGCCGTGAGGACCTCGTAATACTGGGGGAGCTGGGCCCCCAGGATGCGGCCTAAAAGGGAAGATAAGATCCACAGACGTAAATTGAGACGGCAATAAAGAAACACTCTGACCTGGTCCCAGGAGATAAAAATGGCAGGAGGCTGAGACTTTCTGGTGGGAGGCAGTGTAGTGGGGGACCCATCCGGTTTGAGTCCTGGCCGTGTCTCTCACTAGCTGCACGGCCTTGGGCACAGTTTTAACATCTTTGAACTTGTTTCTTTATCTGTAAAATGGGAGTCATATTTTATACCTCCAAGGGCTACTGTGAGGATTAAGCAAGATACATAAAACATTTGCAAGTACATAGGCACTTCATGCATTTTGGCTGCCAGCATCATTTTTGGAAAATTTTTAACTTGTACCTTATTCCTTTACTCGGAACACTGTGTGGCCCATGCCCTGGGAGATAGCTGGCGTGGCTAGTCCATTCCTCTGACCCTGATCCAGACAGTTTCAGAGAGTAACTAGGCATTAAGGTCTTGAGGGCAGGGATCACAGTCTCTAGCCATTGCAGCTCCTGTGCCGCGCTCGGCGTCTGGCACACAGTAGTAGCTCAGCAAATGTTTATTGCATGGTTTTTGCACCAAGCTCCTTGGACTGCTTACCTGAGGGGCAATGTCTCCTTGTGGCATTTGCAATAGACTCCACTGGCTCCTCACTCTTTCCATGTAACTCTGCAGTGCCCCCCACCCACCAAAGCTGGGTTGGCCTGCCTGCTCCTTGACTCTGGGCTCATCCGTGGGACTTGCTTGGCCAACAGAGTGTTTGCAGATGTGACACCAGCTGAGGCTTGTCCTCTATGCTTCTGCCATTGATGCGGTAAGACTAGCAAGCTGCTTCCGAGAGCAGGATGAGGGTACCTGGGGCAGAGGTGCCCCCGCCCAGCTCAGCTGAGCCAGCTATTGCACAGACTCATGGGAAATAAATGCTTATATGCCACTGGAGTTTTGTGTTTTTTTTTTTTTTTTTTTTTTTTACCATAGTTAACTGATTTGTTATTTTTCTAGGATATATTAATAGTAGCTAAACTGGTGTGTATACCCTAGAGGTGGGGTAGAAAATAATAGCAGCCTGGTGAGCCTTCCCTTCTCATACCCGTGGCAGACATTACTAATTGATCACAGAACTTTTCCTTGCTGAGCCCAAATCCAGCATCCTTCTCATATGTGGGCTGCTCTTCAAATTCTCTTGGCCCCTGTGTCTTATTCTAGCCCTGGCCATGGTGACGAGCTCCATGCAGGCTTTGATCAGCATCACACAGCACAACCCCACACCATCTCGCTTCAGTCCTGGAAAATGCATCTCTTCGTTTTCTTCCCTGGAGCTCCACTGGCACCGTGTCAGGACACCCATGGGAACCCACCTGGCACCCCCAGATGCATAGCCCAGATGAGTGGGAGTTAATGGGGGGACAGAACCCAATGGATAAATATTTTCCTTTCCTTCTCCCAAGAATGTTCCTCAAATGCATCTCATAAGGCTTCTCAGAGGGTGTGCAGGGTCCGGCACCTTGTCACCCTCAGTGGTGGCCAGGGCAATGCCACAGCCTGGCATTGACTTTCCCTCTGTCCACTCTCACTCCTCCTTTCCCCTGTTTTTGTGCCTTAGGATCACCCTTCGAAATAAACTACTTGGACATAAGCTCTTGTCTCAGGCTCTATCTTTAGGGCACCACCCTTAATTGATCGCAGCCTATTAATTGATCTCAGTTGGCAGGCTGCCCTGGAGGTTCAGGCTCATGTCCAGGCATCGGGAAAATGGGCTCACCTCTGTGAAGGTCACTCATGCCCCGAGGCCTGCACTCTGGACTTACCTGCCTGCAGCAGGGGCTTGAGGGTGGAGAGCGACCTGACCCTCTGCAGCAGGGAGCCACGCTGGAAGGCCGCCAGGTCCACGGGGGCTGCATCCAGCAGAGGGTCAATGGCTAAAGCCAAGCGACTCATGAACTCCTCGTATCTGGGAAAGGCCTGGAACAGAGCTCTGAGTCAGGCCGGCTGGCCAGAGCCCCACATGGACATCGCCCCCACCCTGGCCCTCCATATGGCCCGCTGCACCACGCTGAGCCTTGACAGTTCTGCAGGCCTCACCGCCTGCAGCTCAGCTTGGCTCTGCTGGGCCCCCAAGTCTAGGTCTCGGTGTCAGCATCAGCACCGGGAAGTGTGCGCCAGGGGAGGCCAGAGAGATCCCGGGCAACAGGAGAGACACCTGGGATGGCAACAGGGACCTGGGGCTGATGCTGGCCAACATGTTGTCAACCACAGAAAACCCGCGAGTATCCCAAGGTGTGGCCTCCGTGATCACCGTAAAACCACCTACAAGTTTCTTTTTCCTGTCCTTCCACACTTTCACGTTACTAGTAACAGACCTCTTCACCTGTCGCCCTGCGTGCCGACTGTTCCCTTCCGGTCCTTAGGCCTGACTGCCGTCTCATCACACGCAGGGACAGGAGCCGCCTCCTCTCACTCCTCAAGCCCCCACCACAGCCTGGTTTCCACACCCACCCTCCTTTCCGGGACAGACACAGGAGCAGGGACAATGCTGTGCCCCTGGGTCCCTACCTTGACTCTTAGCCCAGAACTTTTAACTTTGGTCTCTCTCTACCCATGGCCATATCCATGGCATTTTAACACGTGTCACATAAAGAAGAGCTCCATGCTGAAATACATCTGAGAAGTCTTGGTGAAAATGAAGTTAAACAGCTTTCTCTAGAGCAGGCTCTTAATATGACAACACGCAAAGACACCAACGGGAACCAGGCTCCTCGCTTTCCACCACGGGAGGTGGCTCCTGCCTCCTGGCTGTGTGGTCACTAGTGGGCAGGGCCACGGCCACAGTCCCGCAGGCCCAGGGCCCCGGCCTGGTGCTGAATCCACTTCCGTGCATCTGAGATGGGTGGGACGTGGAGGAGAAGGTGGGGACGGTGGTCCCCAGCCTGCAGCTCCAAAAATCACTGGAGAAGCACTTCCAAAAAGCCAAGCTTCCCCGGTGGTTGTCTGTGCTAAGTTTAAGCCAACTTTAGATTGACTCATCTAGGCAAAGCTACCCAATGGATCCCAATGAATGCAATCTGAAGGAAAAAAACATACCCTCTTCTCACCTTTCACCAGCCCTGCACACCCTACACCCTCGCAGACACACTCTTGCCATGAGCTGCCAGGATGGTGTCTCGAGATGCCAAACTGCATGAACATGACTGCCAGTCTCTTGTCCTAAGTTCCTGACCCAGTTTACTCCATCCTAAATTGCCTCTGCTCACCCCTCATCCTCCTCTCTGGCTTGCCTGTGGATAACCACTGGGAATTGGGTCTGAAAGCAGGAGCGACATGAACACACACAGCATAAGGACACACCAGCGGGTGCCCTTCTGACAGCCGGCATGCGGAGACCAACTGAACACACATGGGTGTGGGGGCCTCCGTTGTCCACGGGTCTTAATCACCAGCCTCCGTCCCCTTCTCTCCTCAGTGCCCGAGATCAAGCGCACACTGGAGCCCTCTCGGGAGGTGGGGTGTCCTGTCCAAGCCCCTGTGGCCTTTGGACAATGTGTTCTAGGAAAATCCAACCAGGCCCATCTTCTCTGAGGAGCCACCTCCAGGCCACGAGGGAGGAGGAGCTCGGTCACGGGTCGCTTTCCCTACCTGGGCATCCTTCTGCGAGAACTGGGCGATCTGCTTCTGGTTTTCCGCCATGTCTGTGCCCAACAGAAGGGACCTGGGCACTTTGCCTCCCGTGCCCTCTTCCAGCATGGGGCTGAAGGAGTAGGGGTTCCGCAGATGAAGCCTCAGCCCGTGTTCCTGCAGAACCAACAGCACGGGCCGCACGTTAAGAGATCTGTGGTCTCTGCCCGAGACCTTCTCTGATTGTGTTCGTGTGACCGTTTAGGTGCCTGCGTGCAGGTTCCCAAGCTATGTGGTCCTGCTTCTGTTTTCTTAAGATATAAGTTTATAAAAAGCCTCTTGCCCAGGCACCCTAGGGTGGGCCATACCACACCGCACCCCGTCATGCTCATCTACGCCAGCGACTGTAGTAGGGTTTACACTGATCATCTCACACCAACTCTGTAAGTACAGTCATGCTGCCTAACGACAGACACATGTTCTGAGAAATGCGTGATTAGGTGAGTCTGTCATGTGGACACCATGGAGTGCACATACACAAATCTAGATGGCATGGCCTGCTGCACACCTAGGCTGCGTGGTGTGGCCTGTTGCTCCCAGTCTGCAAACCTGTCCGGCCTGCGACTGTGCTGAACACTGTAGACAACTGTAACACGATAGTAAGCATTTGTGTATCTAAACATACCTAAACACAGAAAAGGTACAATAAAAATATGGTGCAAGAGATAAACTGCACACCTGTACAGGGCACTGACCATGAGTGGAGCTTGCAGGACGTGAGGCCGCTCTGGGAGGCGGTGAGCGAGTGGCGAGTGAATGAGGTGGCCTGGGACACTACTGTACACTACTCTAGGCTTTGCAAACACTTTGGCTACACTAAGTTTATCAAAAATCTTTTCTTTCTTCAGGAATAGTTTAACCTTAGTCTATTGTAACCTTTTCACTTTATAGACATTTAACATTTAGCTTAAAACACAAATACACTGTTCAGCTGCACAAAAATATTTTCTCTTTATATCCATATTCTGTGAGCTTCTATTTTCAAAATTTTTTATTTTTTACTTTTTAAGCTTTGTTGTTGTAAACTAAGATACAAACACACACATGAGCTTAGGCCTATGCAGGGTCTGGAGCACCATTACCACTGTCTTCCACCTCCACGGCTGGCCCCACTGGAAGGCCTTCAGGGGCAGCAACACGCGTGGGGCTGTCGTGCCCTATGACAACAGTGCCTCATTCCACAGCAGCTCTGAAGGGCCTGCCTGAGGCTGTTCTGCAGTTAAACTTTTTTTAATGAGTAGGAGTACACTCTAAAATAACAAAAAGTATACTATATTAAATACATAGCTATTATCATTATCGAGTATTATGTGCTGCACACAACTGTATGTGCTATACTTTTATACAGCGGGCAGCGCTGTAGGTTTGTCTACACCAGCATCGCCACCAGCACGGGAGAATGTGTGGCACTGACATGACAATGGCTATGACATCACTAGGTAACAGGAACTTTTCTGCCCCGCCATAATCTTACGGGACCATCGTCATGCACACGTGGTCCGTCTTTGACAGAAATGTCACGCAGTGCATGATGCGTTGTCATCCCCATTGTACGAATGGAACAACAGAGGCTCAGAGGAGCTAAATAACTTGTCCCAGGTTCACTTTAGGAGGTGAGTCTGGGTTTCAAAACCACATCTCTGTGACTCCAAAGCCCTGGCTTTCAGCCTTGGTCTGTAACTACCCTATTTCAGAAATAAATAATTAAACTTTAGAAAGACACAATAAAGCAATGGTTATGTGAAAATCCATACTTACAAAGTAGATAAATTATTCACATCAGAAAATTTTATTTACTTTTCAGACTCATTTACTCCAGGTTTACTTTAAATGGAAGGTCCCTCGATGCACTTAAAATATGATTTGATTTGCAAATATTTGGTTAGTGCACAGAACGTCCCAAGAGCACATCTACTTCTTCGAAGGAGGCACAGATAGAACTAACGGGCCTGTGCTGCCTCCACAAATACGCTACTGTCCCGCCGTCTAGAGCCTTCTTCCTTCCCCAGACCCCGGGCCTGCTCCTCGCCGCTTTGAGGTCTCTGCTCAGACGCTGCCGCAGCAGCCAGGCTGCCCCTCGCCACCCCAGCATAGCCGGTCCCCTCGCCCTGCGTTACTTTTCTCCAAAGCACTTGTCACCACATGGCTAATTACATATCTGGTTTTTGCTTGTCTTGCCCGAGTAGCATGTAAGCTCTCTGGGGTCGGGGCATTCATTGTCTGTTGTGCTCACAGCAACACAGGCAATAAGTTACTCTGTTGACTGAATGTATGAGCGCTGGATCACAGACAGGTATGGCCCCAGAGGACAGAAATGATATCTGTGAGTAGAAGTTTTAGGAAAGCACAAGGAAACAAACAAAAAAATAAACCCCAAACCCCAGGCTTTTCTAACTATTATAGCTGGGGTTGCCCCAAACCGGAGACATTCCGGAGGGGCAGGCTCCCCACGGCATCCAGCATCCTTTGGCAGATTCCAAACTGGCAGGGCTTGGGCTGGGAGCCCTCGCTTCCCTCAACAGCCAAGCGGGAGGAAGAATGGGAGCTGACAATTGCAGAGCCCGTACTGCGCACCAGGCTCTGCGCTGGTGACTGTCAATCTCGTGGTTGCCTTCACCACCCGGTCTCACAGACGAGGGAGATGCGGGGACTCAGAACCAGCCAGCTGGGTTCCAGAGGCCTGTGACCACGACCCCTACGAACTGCAAAGGGCTGGAGGCGCGGGAGTCTGAGCAGTGTCACTAGTGAGAGTCTGAGCAGTGTCACTACCAAGAGTCCCCAGGCAGCACATCAAGCTCGAGAGCAAGGAGTCGTCAGACCTCGGCTGGAATTCTTTGTCATTTTCCAGCCGTATGAACCTAAGCCCCTGAATCTCAGCTCCCTCATCATAAAGCGGATGCTCATCTCCAGGCGAGGCTCAATCGAGATAGAGAATTGAAACCTGTAACCCAAGATGTGACCCTGGTAAAATACATGCTCTCCACTATTGTTTCGGAAACTATTCTTGGAAAGAGCTTAGCTGCCCTCCAGTTGCCAATGTCATGTGCAAGCAAGGTGCTCCATCCTCCAGGGGGTTAGTTCTGTGTCTCACGCAGCAAGACTGCTTCTCCCTTGATGTGGGCGCCACACTCCCATTAATGTGGCCCAAGTTGAAGGTTAAATTGTGTAATCAGTTCACTTGGGAGCTTCTAGTTAAAGGAACACTATGGCAAATACCATTTTCAGATGAGTAACTTTTCTTTTTAATAAAGAGAATTATCTAGTGAAAGTCTATTCTGTGATTCTTGGTCTTCCTGAGTTAGGTTTGTCAAAAGAAGGGTCAACTCCACCCCCACTCCCCAATATCTGAATAACTGGTGCATTTGCAAATTGCCTTCTGCTGTAGTCTGGCATGGACTTGATATAGGAACGTGGACCCCAAAACTGGGGTCAGGCCTGAGGGCCAAGTGGGTTCTTGGCTTCACACAGGAAAGAATTCAAGAGTGAGCCAACACAGTAAGGCAAAAGCAAATTTACTGAAATAAGAAAAGAAAAAAAAATGAGACTACCCCATAGAAAGGGAAGCAGCTATTTCTCAGAGCAACAGAGAGTAGCACTTTGTGAGTTTCTGGGGTCTTATTTTACATATTCTATTTAATTTCATGTTAAGCAGAGGAAGGATTATTCATGATTTCTGGGGAATGGGTGGGGAGTTCCAGGAACCAAGGGTCCCTCCCCGCTTTAAACCATGCAGGGAAACTTCCGTGACTTGCCATGGCATTTGTGAACTGTCATTGCACTGGTGGGAGTTTCTTTCATAAGCTAACACATCACAGGCAGGGTATGATGAGCAGTCAGGGTAACCTGAGGTCACTTTTCGTGGCCATCTGGGTTCCAGCTGGTTTTGGCCGGTTTCTCTGCCTTCTCTTGTCTTATCAGAGACCTTGGTTCATGTCTTAGGACTAGCAGGGCCTGCCGTTTCCGTAGCTCGGACTGAAGACCAGCAGCCCAGCCCAGGCCTTGGCCAGATTTCATCCAGACTAGTACCAGGGTGTGCACTCTCTCTCAACAGCACAAAGAACTCCTTTAGGTGAGCCAGTTAGAGCAGCCAGAGAGCTGAGAACAGTGGCAGAACATCTTATTCACTTGAAACTTTGAGTTTAGAGCAAAGTTGGTGCTACTGCGTGCGGCAGCTGCTTTGCAGATGGCACCAAGAGCCATTTCCTCAGTGGCAGGTGGCAGAGGCATCAAGCAGGCAGGGGCCATGTCAGCTTCAGGAAAGTGGTGTTGGAGTTTATATTAATAACAGAGGCATGAAGGGGGAAGGGTGCAGAGGGGGCGGGGGCAAGCCTGTGGCCAGAGGTTGGTGGACTGAGAGAGGTGAACAAGGCCAGATGCCATTTCCAGGCTCCCAGCACACAGCCCAGGAGCCAGAAGAGGTGACAGTCCCTGGCCAGCGTCCTGCTCAAGCCACTAGGAAAGGAAAGCAAGCTCCAAAGTTCACGTGGGCAGAAACAGCGCTCACGTCCCGCGGCAGCTGCGCAAACTCAGGCAGGGTGGGCTGGTGTGGGGCTGAGGCTGGCAAAGCTCACCCTTCAAGGGGTCCCATTTGTGTGTGAAATTTCTCCATTTTAAGACACTGGGTGGACTAAACAAAACCCATCTGTGGGACCGCAGCAGGGAGACCACGTGGGGTCAGACAAACCCTCGGAGGGAGGAGACCTGGGTGCGGGAATCGCCTCGTGCACACAGTGGAGCCTCCACCCACCCCCAGTGGGAAGACAGAACTGCCGCCCCCACCTTGGGGCCTCGGCGGGGAGGGGAGGGGGGGAGGGGGGCGGCTTTACCTTCAGCTCCAGGTCGGTGTAGATCTGCGGCCTCAGCAGGCTCAGGAGGTAGGATGCTCGGGAGAACTTAAACCCTGAAACCGAATCAGAGGAAGGCCATCACCAGAGGTCACCTCCCTCTGCCCCCCCCCCCCACGCTGGGGCTCACCTGGGACGATCTCCTCAGTGACAGCTGCGCCCCCGATCACATGGCGCCTCTCGAAGACCGCCGTGCGCACGCCCAGTCTCTGCAGGTACGCTGCCTGGGGCAGGGGTACACAGGGCCCTCCCTTTATCCCTCTGGCACGTCCAGGGTCCCTAGGACTGGCCTGCGGACCACCGGTCCTCAGTGCAGGCCAGCGAGCCACCCCGGCTCAGGCTGTCCCCGTCTGGGAATGCCGTTCCCTTTGTTTCCTCGTGTTCCTGCCTTTTCCGGCTGTCTTCTAAGGCCCCGCAGGCCTGCTTCTGCCCCTCCACTTCCAACTGAAGGCGACCTTCCCTCCTTGGAGGCCTGACCCCCTGGGAACTCACATTGCACCCTGCCACCCTGCCACTCTCCTGCAGGCAGAAAGCCAGCCTCATTTATCCTACGGGCACGGCAAGAGGCCACACAAGAGGTTGAACTTGTGCACGCTGAGCCAGACTGCTCAGGGCCAGCTCCTCATTCTCTCCTTCCACTGCGGCATCAGCGCCTGACCCACCTGCCTCAGTTTCCTCACGTGCAAAAATGGAGCCAATGAAAATGCCCTTGGCATTTATAAGGCTGTTGCAAGGATTAACGGGAGCAGGTCCCTAAATGGGACTTAAAATGGCCCCTGGCACACAGGATACGCTCAGTAAATGAGGCCGTCTATAGCAGAACTTTACTTTGGGGGAAAATGATGCGAGGGTTCCTATTAATTCTTCTCTACCATGTAGTGGAAAATCAGCAAATATTCATTGAATCAAGCTGGGCATGAGTCCACAGATCTAAAATGCTGGTCTTTCCAGCACTACTAGCACCAACGTGACAACAGGGAGGGTGTAGTTTAAAAGTCTGACTTTTTAAAGGTTCACTTGGCAACTGTGACATGAGTGCATCATCTCATTTAATCTGCCCCACAGCCTAGAGGGGGGCACCGTGATTCTCTCCACTTTAAAGATGAGAAAACCGAGGCTTGGTGAGGTTAAGAGCGAGCCTTAGGCTCACAGAGGTGATGGGTGGAGGTGTCTGGACCAGACGGTTTGGACACAGGATCTATACTGCTAACATACCTCACTGGGAAAGGAGACGAGCAGTCCCTGGCACCCGGGAGCTGGCCTGGCACGCGGAGGTGCCGTGTTACTCTATTAGACATAAACTCTTCCGCAGATCGGCAACCTCAAACAAGGCTACCCTGAGACCATGATAGAATGGGACAGGGCCAGCTCAGACAGAACACGGCCTCTGTGCCACCCTTCTTGGCAGCCTTCTTGGTGACTGCTGCTCCTTCAGTCGCCCTCTCCCTCCCTACGCTCAGATGTATCGAGCTGCACAGTTATAGGGCTGTCCCCACTTCCTGACAGCATTTACCCTACGACAAGCCCCTATTTTCTAGACCCTTCCTCACATCGCCAACTGAAGCTCAAATCCCATACCAGGTTCCCTCTAACTTTCCCGCCGCCCCGAGCCAGCTTGGGGAACTACGGTGTGTTCCCGGCGTGTTTGGCGCAAGGGCACTGACACTAGCCTTCCTCCGGCCGGGAACTTGCGCTGCTGAGAGCCGCCATTTGTGTAGGGCTGAACATGCCAGATCCTCACAGCAAATCGTCTGTCACCGTCACCACGGCCCTGCGAGGGCGGGTCTCTTGCTCTCATTGACTGTGGCTGGGACGGGCTGAGCGGCTCACTTTGGCCTCTGCAGGTGAAAACTGGCCAGAACTGGGCAATGAACCCAAGTTTATATTAATATAAAATCAATGTTCAAATTCACTGGTCGGCTGAGGGACAAAAGGTCCCTGTGAAATGTCAAAGTAAGACTGACACGTCAGTATTAAGGTCTAACGTAAGTCCCTCCATACTGCTGTTCCAGAGCTGCCGTTGCTTCAGGAAGGTGCTCCATGTTTGTGGCCTTGAAACCCCCGTGACCTCCTAGAGGACAGGGACGCAGAAGCACAGCCAGGGGGTGAGTGTTGCCCAGCCCAGCTTGGGATCTGGAAGCCAGCTGTGTTGGGGACCAGGGCCTGGCCCTCTGCCAGCCTGGGCTCCTCACCGTCTCCAGGGCCCCCTTTGGACACACGGCAGCTGTGTGCCCCAGGTGGGCACGTGGCCCGGACGGGGCTGGGGCGCAGGGCTCTACACACGGGGGCTGCCCAGGACCCGCAGTCAGACGCCTCCCTGGGCTCCCATCTGCTGCCAGCTACGCTGGTCCCATGCTCCCAGCCTTTCTGTCATTCCTGACACTCCCACAGGCCGTGGGAACCACTTTGCACGTCGAGGAAAGGAGAGAAAAGGAGCCCGCGATGTCCTGCTCAGCTGACTGCAGACGCACACTCAGCCCGCCAGCACCTTTTCCGTCTCCCTGTGGCCTTCATCCCACCTGCCTCCTCATGCTCCTCCCACGGCTGCCAAGAGCCACACACCCAGGGCCCAGGAAGAGGGGACGAAGGGTAGGTACTCACAGCCACCAGCCCGTTGTGTCCTGCAACGAGACAGGGGAGAGGGGACAGCGTCACTGGTCAGTGGGAAGACAGACACTGTCCCGGAGCGGTGTGGCCACCCTCCCTCCCCACTCCCGCCCACCTGCACTCGGTGTTGGAGCACCCGGCTCCACCCCGTGAAACACCTGGGCTGTAGGTGTCAGGAACCCTGTTCTTGCCCTGCTAGAAGGGTCCTGTCCCCCTGGCTTGGTCAGTGGCTCTCTGCTGGGGTGAGGGGCAAGAAGAAAGCCACGGTCACCAGACAACAGCCTCACCGGGGCTAGCACCACTCGGGGAGGGGCAGGCGACTGTCTGAGTGAGCGTCGCAGTTGGCTTGGCAGCATCTGGCACGCTGGAGCCACCCGTGCTGGCTCATGTGGAATAAATGGCCTTCCCGGGAGTGCCGGTCACTCGGGGAGCTGCTGCCAAGAGTGGCTAGTTTTGCCCAAGTGTGGTTCACAATGGGCGCCACAGTGCCCAAGAAGGCTTTATTCACATGGGCTTGTTTTTATTAATCCCCAGTGTTCTAAAAATAAAATATGAACGGTTTAAAATGAAGCAACTACACACGTACAGCCCCAGTGGGTGCCAGAGTAACGAGGTGTGCGGCAGGCGTGCCCCTGGGCCGGGAGCCCTGAATGTGGCTTTGGGAGCCCATGTCCAACACCAAGCCCACGGGCGGCGGGTGTTCCCCCAGCTTGCTAAGCTCAGGATCCCCTGGGAAGCCGTGTAACGTCGACTCCCAGACCCCTCCCCAGGGGTCTGTTAAGCACGGAGGGGTGGGGCCTGGAGCCTGATTTCTCACAAGCTCCCAGGACACTCTGGTGCAGGTGGCCTCAGAGCCACACGCCGAGCACACAGGCCCTCGGGCTGAGCCCACTGCCGCCTGCCCCCTCCCGGCTGCCGGGACACTCACTGGCAGGCAGAGAACAGGCCCCAGTGGTTCCAGCAAGGGAGGCGGGCCTGGTCTGGAACACCTGGCCCGGTTTTCTCCTTGGGCACAGACGGTCACTCTGTCTTTGAAGATGTCAGTAGACGACATGGTCAGAAGTGAGCACTGACCTGAACCCAGCGTTGCCTCAGATCAAATGCCCACTGTTAACTTGACAAATATCCACAAACTGGGCAGCAGCAACGGCCCACGTGATGGATTCTTCACAGTGAGTCGATTTTGGTTTAAATTTCCCACATGGAGACTCCCAGGACTTGAGAGGTCACTAAGCCAACTTCTCATCCATTAAAAGAATCTCTAAAACCAAGTTTTTCAAACCTCTTTGCCCGCAATCCACAGGTAGAAGTGCATTTTACACCGTGACCTGGCACTCATGCACATATAAAGTTTCACGAATGCTGTTAACTCTTACCATGTGAGAAGCATGTGATAGTCCGTCTGGTCATATTTCATCTTAAAAAGTGCTGGGTGACATACTCTCTATTTTTATGTACTTTTGAAAATGTTCGTAAGAAAGTTTAAATGCTTTCCTGGCTGGGACCCCTGGGTGGGTTGCACCTGCAGTGTGAGGAGCCCTTTTCTGACACGTGCAACCCGTGAAAGGCCACCGGTCCCAGGCTCAGCCCAGCTCCTGCCACTCGAGGAGGAGTGAGGGCACCCTCGGCCCTCAAGTCATTTGGCTGCCATGAGCCTTGCGCTTCTTCATACGTAAAACAGAGGGGTGCTAGGGATAGTGGGCGTGGTAGGGATAGTAAAGCACCTGACCCCCAGCAGACCCGCAGCAAATGTCAGCTGTTTGTCTTTTTTTTTTTTGAGACAGAGTCTCACTCTGTCACCAGGGTTAAAGTGCTGCGGCATCAGCCTAGCTCACAGCAACCTCAAACTCCTGGGTTCAAGTGATCTCCCCTCCCCGCCTCCCACAGTGCCAGGATTACAGGCGTGAGCCACCTTGCCCGTCGCTATTTGTTGTTAATTGGTGCCAAATACCAATCTTGGAAAACTAATAGTTTTCCAAGCAGCTGGGTCTAGTTTAATCATGGCATGTAAGCCCACAAATGCACAAAGAGACCTCAAATGACAAAGGTTAAGGATCCAACAACCCACGACCCCATGCCAAGTCCTGGGTGAGCCTTCCTGTGCCTTCTGGTGAGGCCCGCCACCCCGTGAAGGGGTCTGAAGCTGCAGGCTCAGCTAGTCCTCAGTGGCAGGCACGGGCTATCGCAGAGCTGCTCTGAGCAGGGCTCTGCAGCCGCCTGCGCGGGATTCACTCCCAGTGTTGGTTGGCTCCCTGCGATGACTTCCCACCACCTGGTATGAGGCCAGGAGTCTGCATTTTAACAAGCTCCTCTGTCATTCTTATGCACATTTAGTCAAATGACTAAGTCAAAGTCATCTTCAAGGTGGCATTCAGTACAGGACTGAGAGATACCCCTTATCTCAGACTGGGTTGCTCTGTTCCTCAGACCCAAAATGCCTTTAAACCAGACTCTATGTTATGTTTAGCAATTAAAGACATCATGTCAAGGAAAAGCTCACACACTGAGACTCACACCTGTGGGCAAGGCACCAAGGCAGCTGGTGACCTGGAGTCAACCTTCCCTGCTAGGAGACAGCAGGGGTGGGCTGTGACCAATGGCAGAAGGAGGCAGGGGGCTTCTCTGAGGCTAGGAGGCCTGAGGCACTTTCATTTCCTGAGCCCAGTCCTGGAGTGCTGCAGAAGGCTCCTACCAGCCCAGCAAATTTGTGAGCTGGTTGTCAAATAGCCAGTTATAAATTAAATTATATGAACTTATAATTGAATAAATTAATTAAAAAGAAGGGTAAAAAAATACTCAGAACTTACCACTTCCTAATTATTTTACTACATTTGACTATGACTTATGCTCTTGTGGTCATTTGCCCATATGTCCATATCTGGATGGTGGACATGCCATATGATGGGGACATGCCATATGAAGGGGACATGCCATATGATGGGGACATGCCATATGAAGGGGACATGCCATATGATGGGGACATGCCATATGAAGGGGACATGCCATATGAAGGGGACATGCCATATGAAGGGGACATGCCATGATGGGGACATGCCATATGATTGGGACATGCCATATGAAGGGGACATGCCATATAATGGGGACATGCCATATGAAGGGGACATGCCATGATGGGGACATGCCATATGATGGGGACATGCCATATGAAGGGGACATGCCATATGATGGGGACATGCCATATGAAGGGGACATGCCATATGAAGGGGACATGCCATATGATGGGGACATGCCATATGAAGGGGACATGCCATATGATGGGGACATGCCATATGAAGGGGACATGCCATATGAAGGGGACATGCCATATGATGGGGACATGCCATACCATGAAGTGCTACTGTGTATCTCCCCCAAGTCACACTCAGTGACCTCCTGTTGGGAACAAGAAAGGCTATGGTGGGAGTATTTACACCACAGTAATCAGCCAACAGTACACCTCAGGGCTTAATTCATTGTTTTGTGGATTGTTAGGCTTAAGAAAGTGATAGAAAATGCTAATAATGCACATTAAACTTGTGTCTTTAGCTGTTACCTTGTGTATAGCACAAAAAATGGAGGAAATATTCTTCTAGTATTAGAAAAATATTATCTGACTGAGCAAAGTCATTCCTGTCATTAAAGGGGTGAAGTTGGAACATAAATCTTTGTTGTGTTACTTAAGTTCTACTCTTTAAAGTAAATGAAAATATCGAACACCATTCCTTTTGAAAGTAGCCTCATTCGTCAGTTGCAACCATAGATTAGCTACTGAGTTTGGCAAAAGTCAAAGAAAGCATTTGGTAAGAATCACTTGGCTGCATAGAATTTAAATGAAGAGTACTGTATATTTGTAAAATTGTGCACTATACATCTTTTATTTCAGTATAATAAATGTATACGTGTGTGCACATGTGTATATGCACACACATCATACACTGTTCCCTGGGAAGGCGACTGTTAAACAACCAGCAGCTAAAGAATGCCCTGAATACATAAAAAATGAAGAAACACCAATACAGGGAAGCAACTTTGAAGTTGAATGAGTGTCCCCTGTCAGGCCTGCCACTGTCTCTATATACCCCGCTGCAATGATGCATCCGGGACCTTTTGTGAGTGTGAATGAAGGGCTGGGAGGGCAGGCAACCTGGTCCTGGGCCCACTGCCCATCCTGGTCACCCAACAGACTTTGGCACTCTGAGCCTGGAGCTCAGCAAAGTGTTGCAGGATCACCGCACAGACCCCCTAAGCGTCCAGAGGTAGTGGGGGGCTGGCATCCTCTGCAGACAGGCGGTGGGGACTCTGGGACAGACAGTGGTACCTCTGGGACTCAGTTCTATTTTTTTCCTACCTGCCCTTTATGAAAGGACGCCGGTTTCCTCTGGGGGTGGGTAACCTCAGTGGCGAGGTGGTGTTGACCAGAACTCTGGGCAGGTGGGGTGGCTGGATTTGTCCTGTCTGTTGTCCCCTGGCTCTTTCTTTCCGCCCTTACAAACCACAGGCTTTCATGGTGGAAACTAGATAATTCTGCAGGAGATAAGGGGAACCCCCTGGGGTCACCTAGTGCTCCTTTGTCATTCTAGATGGGAAGACCCAAGCCCAGAGAGGGCAAACATTTGCCCCAGACCACACAGCAAGTCAACAGCAGAGCCAGCTCCAGAACTCCAGGCGCCTGCCTGCCAGACCGAAGGCCTCGCCTCACGGGCCCTGCTCAAGAGTAGATAGCTCGGGGCTTAGGGAAGGGCCCCTCCAAGCTCTGATCAGGCTGCCTTCCCGCCCCTCAGCCCTGGCTCAGCCCGCTTTACCTGCTCCTATCACCACTGCGTCATACTCGGGCTTCAGGTCGCCCCTGGCTTCCCAGCGAGCTTGTCTCCAAGCAGGGCGGGGAGAGGCTCCCACGGCCCTGCTGAGACCTCGGCCTCCGGCAGCCATTTCTGCCCCAGGCCGCTGTGCTAGGCCAGGAATTTGGTGCAATCAGCTTTTTGTGCCCTCCCAGGCAGGGGAGGAGCGGGAGAAAGTGAGAAGAGAGGAGGAGCCATGGCCCAGCTGCTCTTTCTTAGCCTCGGGCCAGGCTCCTCCCTGCAGAGTCTGCGAGTCTGCGCTGGGCAGTCAGGGGAGGGGGATGCCACCTCCAGGACACCAGAGAGCAAAGACCAAACTGATAATTCACCAGGGCTCCTGTGCGCAGGGCAGGCCCTGTGCTGGACACGGGACACCCATTTTACAGATGAGGGCACTGAGGGGGGTGTGGGGAGTGGGGGGTGGAGCCAGAACAGGGTTTCAAAGGTCCCTCTCCTCTCTGGTGTGTCTCACTTCTCATTAAAAAATGCAGAGTCCGGGACACGCTGGGATGGGACTCCTAACAAGAGACTGCTCCGATGCCACGACCTCCAGGCTTGGGGTGGTGGTGACTGCTCTATACCTGCAGGAGGCTCCATGAGCCACTGGCCCAGGCCTCCAGAGCAGCCATTTAGCATCACCATGACCAGGGCCTTTAGCAAAACCGCAGAGAAGGCCACATTGTCGCTGCGGCCTGCGGTTCTCTCCTAGATGCACAAACACATCCACTTAACAGGCGGCTGCAGAATCTCACGAGGGCTTAGGGGCAAGTTCGCTGTCTGGAATTCCTGGGGTTTACCGTCCTCTTTTGCAGGCCTGGACATTTCTCTTCTGTCTTTTGGCACCTTTCTCATTTCCCAAGAATCCTCAAGGATTAGAGGCCACATCTGTAAATACCTTCAGCTAAAGTGCTTTCTTACTCTCCCTTGGCCTGGCTTGAATTAGGAGTGCCTTTGTTCTCCGCTGTTGCTAAGCAGACCTTTCCCCTTGCAGGAGAGCAGCACCCTGCGCTGCTCGGACGTCAGTGTGACAGAAACCTGCTCTTAGAAATGAATCTCAAAATCGGGAGAGTACATGGAAAAGGTGATTCTGAGTAAGAGGGCTTTCTGGGGACCCCTCTACTCTGAACTCAGGCGTCCCTCCACACACCCTAGGTTTATGCTGCACGTGAATCTCCCTGCTAAATCCGATTCAGGATGTTCACCCCAGTGTTATTTACGATGTAGAGAAATCAGGGGGCTGCTTAAACGAGACACATCACACGCAGCTGCTAAAAATTAAGGGAAAATATCAGGTGATAAAAGTGGATGTCCTAAACTGTGGTTTACTTTTTTATCCTTTGTGTTCTTCTGTGTTTTCCACAATTGACGTTTTTCTTAGTTTCCATCCATAAAATCATGATATTCATGAGGAGCATAGTCCAGCCATCTCAGGGGACAGCTCACTGCTGCCTTGTAAGGACTTTAGCCCAACGTGTGGTTCCCGCTCCCTCAGCACCTGTGTTCTCCCCACAGCTGTGCCCTGCAAGGGGAATACAAGTCTTCCTCGAGTAACTCGAGTAACCAGCTCAGTTTCCCCTGAAAACACAGAAGGAGCGGCTCCCCCACGCACGTGTGTCACAAGGGCGTCTGTCCCTTTGCCGTGGTGGGTGCTTATTTCTGCCGTGTCACTTCTCTCTGGCTCAGCACCGACCAGAGGAGCATTTGGCCCAAGAAGAGCAAACGCTCCCCAGTCCCAGTATTCTGAGGGTCTCTTGTCCGTGTGTCCATTTCGGGGTAGAAACGTCTTGGTTAGAAGAGGGGGCTGCACCTCTCGGGCAGTGGTTCTCAATCGGGGTGCACCAGATTGCCTGGGAAGCAAACATGCTGACCAAGTGAATCCAGACCTCTGGGCTGGGCCCCGGAGCTCAAAAACTCCAGCCCCACGGCAGACGCCAGCAGGTGTGATGGTGCCAGGATGTAGCCAGGGCCCAGAAGCACAAGCACATGCGGTTTGAATGACAACAATAACCAACATTTATTGAGTGCCTGCCACGTGTTCAGTAATCCTCATATCCACTCTGAGAGGGAGGTGCCAGCACTTTAAATGTGGGGAGAGGTTTAGAGTCTGACAAACTTGCCCAGGGCCACGGAGAGGAGGTGGCAGAAATGGAATTCAAACCCAGCCAAGAGAGCATCTTTCACCCAGGCAAGAAACGGCTTGCTGAACGAGCTTTTCCCACTCAGAGAACAGCAGAAAGCAGGTGCCTTCAGACAGCCTTGGTCCCTGGCAACGTGCTCCCTGTCCCCGAGTATCCAGGGAGAGGCGGCTCTGGCACGCTCTAAGCTGACAGCCACTGTAGTTCTAAGAACCCTTGGGCTCCCTCTTCCTCCAGAGGGAAGGACTGGGGGGCTTGGAACCCCACATAGAGGGTGGGCTAGATGCAGTTTAAGATGCCCTGGGGCTGCCTGAGGACCCTGCCCCAGCCTCAGGAGGCGGCCTTTGCCATGGGGAACGCTGGCAAGGGGGGTGGGGACGGGGTGCCCGGGAAGACCCCTGGCCTAGAGCAGCGGGATTCGGGAGGCTTCCCAGAGGCGCCGGGCCAGCTGGCTGGCCTGCTGCAGCAGCAGGTCGGTGGGGATGACCGACAGGTGCAGGGCCAGCAGCTCGTAGCACCTGACCGCCTCTGCTGGGCGGCTCTTGCTGTAGTAGCGCAGGAGCTTCCTGGGGAAGGAAATGCAGGCGGGATTCAGACCGAGGCAGCGGCACCGTTCCCGGGCCGGAGCCTCTCCCGGCCGCTCGTAGGCAAACGCCCACCCCCTTGGTCATTATCGCTGGCCCTACACCCAGCCTCGACACCTTCTCCTCCTCACTGACCACCGTGTGCCCAAGCTAAGAGGTGCCAGCAGAGACACTCTGGGCCCAGCAGGGACACGTGCTCATGCTGCCAAGACTGCACCAGCAGGAAGTGGCGGGAACGCAAACGTGTCCTACACTTGCAGCCTCCCCCGCTGGACACCAGGCCGCCAGGGAAAGGCTCCCAACTGGGGTTTCTGGCTTCTTGGGGTGGGGCGTTCCTGAAGGAGGAGCACCCCCTCAGCACCGTCTGGTGCACGGCCCTTCCCAGCAGCCTCCTGAGCCAGGTCACCTGTAGTAGTCTCCTCCCAGCATGCCGATGGGCACCGAGTCATCGGAGAGGACAGGCACCTCGATTATCTGGAGCTTGTGCCCCTGGGGAGGGAGGACAGGGAGGCAATGGGTGTGGGGTTAGAACATGGCTTGAGTTAGACACACCGGGTTCGAGGCTGGCTAAACCCTGCTCAGTGCTTGAGAAAACGCAGGGATCGATTTTACCCTATTTCCTCACGTGTGAAAGGGGAGTAACAATGATCATGTTATGAACTAGAGATAACATATGCGAATCCTCAAGTGCAGGGCCTGGCATGTAGGAGCTCTCCCCACTGTAAGTGCACCTGGACCAGCAAGGAGTTTGTGCGGGGGGACATTGGTGCCACGAGGGGCCTTCAGGAGCAAAGCATGATCAACAGGCCTAAGGCTCCACTTTGAATGAAACGGGATTCCTGGGGTAGGAGTGGTGGGGACGGGAATTATGGTCTGCAGGGCCCGTCCTGTGTGCCAGGCACAACTGGGTGTCGTGCACACGTCTTGGGCACTTCTGGGGACACAGAGGGAAGATGGGAGCCTGCAGGTCAGGAGGGCTGAGCTCAGGCCCTGGCTTCTTTCCTCATGACCTCGTGGCCCTGGCCACGGTGTGTCTCAGCGTCTCTATCTGTAAAATGGGGTCAAAGTTCCCTGCTCCAACCGCCCAGAGCTGAGAGGGCCGAGGGAGAGAACAGCAGGGAAAGGCCCCAGTAACTAGCCTGCGCTGTGGAAATGGCAGTGCTATGGCATCGGCAGTGGGCACAGAGGGTGCAGGCGGAGCAGGGACCAGGGGACCAGGGGCGTGAGGGAACACTCCTTAGGGAGCTGGGATAATCAGCAAAGGTGACAAGGAGATGAAAACACAAATGGAAGGAAAGCAAGGGAGAGAAGAGAGAGGCAGAGGAGGAGGGAGAGGGGGAGGGAGAGACAGGCGACCAGCCACACACAGTAAATCCCCATCATCTGTGCTTAAGCTGTAGCCACAGAGAGGTCTAGAGAAAGAAGAACAGGCCCAGAGGCAAGACCCCAGCCAGACCGTCAGCGTCACCTTGGGCAGCTGTGGCCTGTTGGCCTGTACAACGGGGATGACAGTGCACCATACTTCGTATGTGACCATGACGTCACTGAGGCACTACCGCCAAAGCAAGCGACCTGGGCAGCCTTTCTCCCAGTGGGGCACGTGGCCATCTGCCCATGTGCGTGCTGCACGCTGCCTGAAAATAGCGTGAGCTTGTCCGACAGCCAGATGGAGGGATCACAGAGCAAAGAAAATACCCCTGGGAAAATGCGACCCCTGAGTTCTGGGTCCCAACCTGCAGCGCTTACCTGCCGGTCTGTTAATCCCATGGGCAAGAGGAGGAGAGACAGACTCAACGCAATTCAGAAAAAAGGAATACCAGAGTTACAGGGATGAAAACCATTTCCAGGTCACCCAGCCCCAGGGACCGGGCCACACCCACCGTGTCATTCTCGAACCACAGGAAGTAGGAGCAGTAGAAATCCCCCTCCTGGAACAGCAGCGTGGTGTAGCCCTTCTGCAGGTATCTGCGCGCCAGCCGGATCAGAGACCAGACCTGGGGAGAGGAGAAGACAGATGGCCTGAGCGCCACTCCCGCCTCTGGAAGGACGCAGAGAGCTGGCCAAGCGGCTCAGGATGGCTGGAGTCCCTTCTCAGTGCCAGGGCTCTGCCTTGGCTCGGAGCAGGAGGTTTAGCAACGAATCATTATTGGATGCACGGACTATCGCTCCAGTCATGGTGGGGATGAAATACACGTAAAACACTTTGTATAACTTTACTATACACATAAGCCATGTGTTAGTAAACTGATCCTTCCATCCAGAAAACAGCCAGAGACACTGTTAATTAACACGTTAGGAGATCAAGGTGTGGCCCTTGGAAACCCCTCCTCTGTCTAGGGTCACTCACTCACCCAGTCCCCTCCAGGGCTGGGAACTGATGGCACAGCCAGGAAGGTGCCGGGGAAGCGTGCTCCACTGTAGAGCACCCTGAGCCAGGCACCGCCTCTGCTGCGGGGGTACGTCCAAACCGGGGCTCACCAAGGTCGGATGGAAACACAGGACCCGAGAGACCACATGCCTGAGCTCTCCTCCGGGATGTTCTCCTGCTGCTTGGGTGCTGCCAGAGAGAAGGCAGCAGGGACAGCAGGCTCCCCGCATCTCCCAGGGCTGGGAACAGGCCTGGTGAGCGCTCTCCCAAAAGCCTCACTGGAAGGGATACGCGACCCACTCCAACCTGACCACAATGTATCATCTACCTAAGTCTGCAAACAAATACGCAGATTGGAAAGCAATCTGACAACATGCATCAATAACCTTAAAACATTCCTTCAATCTAACTTAGTAATTCCATTTCTGGGAATCCATATTGAGGAAATAATCAGAGAGGAGAACACAGATGTATGCGTAAAAGGTGTGTACTGCAGAATTATTTATAACAGCGACAGCCGGGAAGCAATCTCATGTTCAAACACTGGGGAAATGGTTAAGTAAATTATGCTATACTCACATGATGGAGTTGCTGAAAATCATGTATATAAAGAATTAATGGCATGAGGAAGTGCATCTGATATAATGAGAAGTGAAAATATGGTAAACAGAATTGCATATACAGAGTGACCTCAACTATAACAAACCACACAGAAAAACAGCGAAAAGAAACACAGCAAGAGAACCCCAACTACCTCTGCAAACAGGGATGGAGACGGTGATGATAATGGGACCAGTAAATGCTCAATGAATTGTAGCATCTGTATTCTGTGCCACATATTGTACTAAATATCTCACGTGCATCATGTGATCTTTGCAATAGTTCTGTGATGTACATAGTCTCATTATCTCCTTTTACAGATGAGGAAACTGAAGCTTTGAGGAGGTGATGCCCAAGACCACATAGTAGCAGGAGGCGAGGCTGGGCTTCCAGCACGCGCCTCCAGCACCCATCTTGTTTTAACCATTAAGATATACTTTATTTGGACCAACCTGTCCCTATGCATATATAGTTTTTTAGACACTAGTAGAGGCCTCCCCTTCTCCACCAAAAATAAAAGCTTGCTATGAAGAGTCAGTTAAGCCAGGGGAATAAAAGAACTTCCAGAGAATGTTTCCTTAGCAGAAAACCTCTAGTTTTAAATTCTGATGCCTAATTGATTTACCTTACAGTTCTTTCCATTTCAGTTAACTCAGCCAACACCTGTTGAACATTTATCTATGCCAGCACAGGCCATTTCCTCCTCTGCCCTGCTGCCCAGAGTGCTCTGCTGAGCCCAGGGCACATGGGGACACAGCAGGAGAGGTGGCACAACATCGCTGAGGCCCCCCTGGCCCGGTCCGGGTCCCTGAGGTCAACAAGACAAGCTGCTGTTCCCGAGGCGCCTGCAGTGTGCCTGGCACACAGACGCCGACGAAGTCCAGGAAGGGTTATGGCGGGGGCCATCAGAGACTCCCGGGAGCCCAGGGGACAGAGGAGCTTGTCCACCTCAGCAGGGTTCAGGCCTGAGCGCCCCATCCAACAGGCACTGAAGAGTGCCCAGGCCACGTTACCTTGGTTTTGACGAAGGCAGCCAGGGGCCCCCTGCCCAACTCCGATGAAGTCTTTTCACTGCTGCTGAGGGAAGGAGCCACCATCTGCCCGGTCGTGCGGTCCACGTAGATGAAGTGCACCAAGCCTGGGAAGTCTTCCAGGTAGGTGAGGGTCTGAGTTAAGGTGCGTATGAAGCCAGGAAGTAGGGAGGGTGTTCCTCTGCCCATGTCTCGGCGTCCAGCTCTGCCCAGCAATGGTGTGGGGAGGGCCGGCCTGCCCTTCCCCCTAGCCAAGCCCTCAGAATCCCCACCTCCCAGCTCCCCAGCCTTGGGACATTCTAAGATCCTTGACACTTGCGCATTTAACAAGGCAGTTCTGGGTCCTACACCCCGGTACGTTCAGTTGATCATTTCCATGAGGGGAGAATTTAAGTCAGACACACTGTGAGGCTGGAGTGTGAGCAGAGCCCATGTCTACTGAGTGAGCCTAGCGGACCGCCAGCCTACCCACCGCACCGTGATCCCGTCAATCTCTACACTGGAAGACTCCCATTCGAGACAGACAGACACTCAGGGAAGCGCAGTTACTGGTGGCTAAAGAGGTCCCCTGGTGTGCCTTTCACCTGCCTGCTGAAGACCAAAGTTTCTAGAAGTTTCTAGGGAGGGAGGCCTGACATTTTAATATAGAAAAAACCTCTATATAAAGTCCCATGGAAAATTAGTATTCAATAAAACTAGTGTTCATAATTAAAGGGTCAAATAAGTTTTAGATGTGGTTTTTTAAAACAGGGGTAAACACTTACCTGCAGGCCTTCTCAGAGCCTTTCCACACCTCTGTGCACTGTGATGACCTAGGGAGGACGCGGCCTCTCAAACCAGCCAGGCCACAGGAACCCCAGCCTGTCCCCAATGCCACTTTGCCAGCGGGGCAACACTGACATAAAGGGTCTTTAAGGCTTTTATGAATTAACTTTAGGACAGCAGGAATTTCTGCAACTTCGGGTTGGAGTGTTCCTATAGACAAGGCGCATGGGACACTAACTCCTATTACTTTGCCTGAGAGAAAAGGGGCTGAGGTGGTGGAACATCATCCTCCCCAGTGGATTCTTCCAGCCGGCAGAGGAGGGCACATGGGCCTGAGAGGGTTGCAGGGCTGGCTCAGGCGCAGGCACCAGGATATGACACCATGGTGATGTTCCTCCTACTCTTCACCAACAGGAAGTCCTTCCAGTCCAGCAGCTTCTCCCTGCAGGGGGAAGCAGGGAGCACAGGCTGCTGGGGGAAGCCGTGTACCCCACATCCCCGCTCCCGGGATGGAGGGGGCCACACGGCACTCACTGCATGAACTTCTGGGCTTGGTCCTGCAGGTGCTGGGGCAGGTGCGGGCCTCCCCGGCCTGGGGCTGCGGCCAGGAAGCTCAGACGGTAGATGGCGCAGAGCTGCCGCTTCACCTTCCCACACGCCTGGAGCAGGCTGGGCGCCAGGAGATGAGCCCGTCACAGCAGAAGGGACCCAGGGGAGCCCCTTGCCTGTGTGGGCCACCACTCCTGCACCCAGGATAGGCAGACAGATCTAGGGGAGCCCCCCTCGCCCCTGTCCTCGGGGCCCAGCACTTACTCCCGGGAGGATCCTGGCTCACTTTTGGAGAAGGCCTTGGTCTTAAACTCCAGCCAGGCGCTCTGAAAGGAAGACAGGGAGCATGGTCAGGCATGCTACCTGACTGTGCTCCCTCAGGGCCCAGCTGCGAGCTGCATGGAGAACAGCTGCTGCAGGGGCCTGGGGCGGCACGGGCCGCTCTCTGTAGAGGACAAGCACGCCACGTTCTAATACAAAGGCTTGGGGGCCCTGCGGATGCCGTGCTGCCTTGGGACTCCACAAAGAGCAGTGGTCTGGGGCCTCCCTCACTTGCCCTGCCTCCTCCAGTCCTGCTACCTTCAGAGGACATGGATCCTGCCACTGAGTCCCAGCACCTCAGACAGACCCAGGCACCACCGCTGCAGGAGCGGCCGCAGCTGCCGCCTCCCTCTGAAGCTCCGTCCAGGCCCCGTGTGGACTGTGTCGGGGCACGCTGCGATAGCCTGTGTCTATGGCTTGCACACTGCCCCACGTCTCTTGGTCTCAGCTCTCGAAGGGTGGGCTGCACTTCTCTGTGTTGCCCTCGGTGCCCAGGCGTCCTGGCCACACTGCAGGGGGACGCCCCTTGATGGGCAGATCACCAGCCTGCACCGATTCGCTGAATCAGGCTCTGGCTCTACCATTTACAAACCAAGGTATGACTTATCGAAGCCTCAGTTTCCCTATCAAACAAACAGGAATAATAATTTGTGTTCTGCCAAACACATGAACAGGTGCTGAAACTTAAAGAGCAGCTGGGTTTCTGCTGCCATTTCATAGTAAAGACCACCAGGGTCATAGAGCTGTGGTGGAGCAGGCACAGGACCCAGACCGCCGGCCCCCAACCCACTGTGGACTGAAGCTCTGCTACCTGCCCCCTCTCCCCCTCCCAGGCTAGGTGGACCAGGCTCTGGGTCTCACCTGAATCTCCTGTCCCCCACGATTCTTGACAAACTTGTCCATCCTCTGGCGCAGGTCTCCCATGATGGGCTGGGACCGCAGGGCACCCCCGGCCTCTGGGCCCTCCTTCAGCTTCTTCTCCAGCAGGGAGAACCCATCCAGCAGCTGGTACAGCGCCAGCGCCAGGGGCGTGCTGGGGCTCTGAGGGAAAGAAAGGCAGACGGCGGTGAGTGGGGCCACCCCAGAGCTGCCTCGGCGGAGCGCACCAGGGCAGGGTGCAGGGCTCTCCTACCCGGGTCAGGAGCACCATGTTGATGCCCGGCCACAGGGGCAGGCAGTACATGGTGTGTGGCACCAGGGGGCAGTAGCTCTCCTTCATGCTGGCATCCAGGAAGATCCGTCTGGGGCCAGGAGGTGCAGGGGCCGGGGGAGCCAGCACTTGGAGTGTGTCCTCTGCTATCTGTGGAGGAAGGAGAGCTGCGGTGGGAGGTAGCCAGCAGGGGAGAAGCATCTGGCCTCCTCCCCAGGTCAGATCTACCCATTGTGCCCTGCCCGTGGACCATGAGGAACAAAAACTTTGAGCTCCAAGAAATTCTAGTTCCCAAGAATTTCCCACTCTGCTGGAGCTGCCCTGGCAGCTCCGGTTCTGCTGTCTCTCTCTCAGCTTTCCTGGGCCTCTCTGCCCAGAGTCAGGCCTGGAGGCCAACAGGGCAGTGGGGAGGGCCCAGGATCTGGGTGGTGGCAAAGAGGGGACAGAGAGGGCAGGAAGGACACAGTTGGGTGGAACGGGAAAGAGGCTGCCTCCCCGCGCCATCAGCTGGACAAAGGTGTTCAAGCCGAATGTATTTGTCTTCCCTGCCGCCCTCAGAATATCCAGACAGCCACCCACACTGGGGAAACGGAGGCACAAAATGACTAAATGAGCAAGACTCCAGCATCCAGAAGGGATCTGAGTAAGAAAGCCTTTGGTGGGAAAAATTAGAGAATTAAGAAAATCATGAGAGACGCTGTAAAAATTTCTATATAAGGCTGTTACTTCTGTGTTATCTGTAACAGCAACATACTGGCTGTTCTGAGATTTGCTAAATAAGTAACATGCATGAGATAGACTCTTGTTTTTTTTTTTTTTTTTTTTTGAGACAGAGTCTCACTCTGTTGCCCAGGCTAGAGTGCCGTGGAGTCAGCCTAGCTCACGGCAACCTCAAACTCCTGGGCTCAAGCGATCCTCCTGCCTCAGCCTCCTGAGTAGCTGGGACTATAGGCATGCGCCATCATGCCTGGCTAATTTTTTCTATATATTTTTAGTTGGCCAAGTAATTTCTTTCTATTTACAGTAGAGACGGGGTCTCACTCTTGCTCAGGCTGGTTTCGAACTCCTGACCTTGAGCAATCCGCCCACCTCAGCCTCTCAGAGTATTAGGATTACAGGCATGAGCCACCACGCCTGGCCTTGAGATGGACTCTTGAACAATTGTTACAAACCGTACTGTTGAAGAGTGCTTAGTAAACATGAAAATGCTTAAATAAAAAAGAACAATGAAGCACATTAGGATTCAAATTTGATAAAGAGAAAAATACATAAACGTGCAGATACGCAGCATGTATGTGCACATGTATAGAATCCTAGGAAAAAAGTCCAGAGGGAAACACCCAAAGGTGTTAATCCCACTTTGAGGATAGAAGAGTAAATTTTATTCCCTTTTCCATATTTTACTTTTATATTTCCCAATTTTTCTACAATAAATGTTTACATTCTTATTTTTAAAAAACATCAAAAATTGCCTTGGACTCTTGCTCCTAAGAATGGTGGGGCGGGTGGGGGTTTTCAGGAGCTGAGGCCGAGGGCCTGGGGGAGGAGGAGGGCAGGGTCCCCCGCATCACCCACGCTGGCTGAGCTGTGGCACAGGGACAGGCGCTGCACTGACAGCCCTGAGGTGCGCAGGGCAAGGCTGGCGCAGAGTCACCCTGGGGGCGAAACCCTCCCATCCGCTGGTGCCCAAGCAGAGCCAGGAGAAACTCACCTGAGGCATGTCAGTGGGCGGGGTCCCCCCCTCCAGCCAGATGGTGCTACCTGCGGGCCACAGGTCTTGGTGTAACAACGGAATGCAAACGACCGCCTGACAGTATGGGGGTGGCACCCAGGTGGCCCTGTCCCATCAGCAGGGCCAGGTGGGCAGAGGCGCTGTGGTGTCACTGGAGCAGCACCCCCTTCTCACCCCCGAGCCCCAGGGTGGCAGGCACAAGGCAAACTCTGCAGTCTCTGGGCTAAGGTGGCCTGGGTTTCCCTCAGAGCTTCTGAGGGAGGATTTGGTAACAGTTGGGGGTGGGGAGGCATTTCCTCAGCAGCCCTCCCTTGGCCCCTAAATCCCCCCTTGCTCCTGCCCTATCTGTTCCTTCAGGCTCCCCCCTCCCGAGGAGTCAGTCACACCCAGTCCACATTTCCCCATTCATTCATTCAATCAGCAAACTTTTACTGAGCACCTACTATGTTCTGGGAATTGAACTAGAGTTCCTTCCCTGTGTATGTAGCTCACAAACCTACTAAGCCCACTACACACCTGAAATGCTACATGCTTGTAGTAATACTGTTACCTCATGTATTTCATTGCAAATAACCCTCACTTATAATGTGTTCCTTCGGTTCAAACACCTGATTTGCAAATGGATGAGTGCAACTGAAGCCATTTGTAAGCTGTGAGTTCTGTGCATGGTGAAAAGCATTATGTACAGTTTGGAGGCACAAAAAACCACCAGGGAGGGAAAAGGGATGGGAGGAGGATCCTGATGAGTGAGGGGAGGGAGCTGGGAAGAGAAGCGTTGGAGATCAGCCACAGTGGTGCTTCCCAGTGTGCCTCAGCTCGTGGACGGCTCAGAGTCTCAAGATCACTATGAACCTCACCCCGGAAAAATGTAAGAGCAAGCGAGGGCTGGCACACACTCTCAGGGGCCCCAGGCTCCCAGTCAGCCCAAGGACCTAAGTTAAGATCATCTAACCCAGAGGTTTTCATATTTGGCTACACATGAAAATCACTTGGGGACCTTTAAAAATCCCAAAGCCAGGCTCAGATCAATTAAGTCAGAATCTCTGGATACAGGCCCAGCTCAGCAGTAGGTTTTAAAGATGCCCAGTTGAGTCCAATACGTGGCCAGAGGACAGAAGCACAGCTCTGACCTAAATCTGTATGTGGCAGTGGTTCTCGCCCAAGGTGCAGCGGATGGACTCACCTGGGGGCATCTGCTGGTATTCACACTTGGCCCTGCCGGCTGGCCCTGCCCAGTGACCGCAGTGTGCAGCTGGGGTGGGTGAGAGCCACTGGTCTAAGGGGGCCGCACAGCACATGCCTTTCCAAACTCAGTCCCCAAGAAGTCTCTCCTCCTGAGCCCTGGCCTTCTTTCTTCCGTCAGATGATGGGGAACCTGCAGCCTTGGGGCCACATGTGGCCTCCAGATCCCCAAGTGTAGCCCTTAACTGAATCCATACAAATCCCTTTATTAACAGGATCTGTTCTGTAAAATTTGAATGTAGTCAAAAGGCCACACTCAAGGATCCAGAAGGCCACATGTGGCCCCAAGGCTGAGGTTCCTCACCCCTGTGACCAGACCCTTCCTTTTCTCCTAAGAATCAGAGATAAAGGTGATGAACGTGGCGCTCATTCACGGTGACTACACAGTCTGGATTTGGGCTGATCTACTGCTCTAAGCAAGGCTGCCTATTTTTTTGTTAATAACTTTTTGAATATTTGTAGTTTATTTTTATTATTCAGCCACATTCTTTGGAAACACATGTATGGTATAAAGACAGAATATTTATATTTTAAGAGGTACTTGAAATCAAATGATTATTACTTAATTATTAACTACAAAAAAGAAAGATGAGGCTGAGAATACACATACAGAAGAATTTCTAAATGAAACCAACTTGTCATAAAAGCTTTAGGGATCATTTGAGTGGTCTTAACAGTCCTAGAACTCGAGCAGGAGCCAGCAGGAAGACAGAGGGAGGGGAGCTGCAGACAGCATTCTGTGCTCTAGGAGTGTGGGACCCACTGATCCTGGGGACCCACTGGATTCCCCAGGACCACCTCTGTCTCCAGCCTCCTCCTGCTCCCCCAGGCCTCACCTGAGCTCTGCTCGCCAGGGGAAGGGGCTGGTGTGAAGTATTCCTCGGGCAGGGAGAAGCTGTCTGTCTGCTGGGAGAGACAAGAACACTCAGGCCGAGGCCCTGCCAGCCGGCCTGCGCTGGCCACAGGCGGAGGCAGGCCCCCTCCTCCAGGCAGGGCACAGCACGCACCGTCTCGGCAGAACTCCCCACGGACGGGCCTGCGGAGTGAGGGCTCCGGGCCTGCTGCACTGGGATGTTCTGGCTGCTCCAGGGCCTCCGTGGGGAAGGCTGCGAGAGGGCAGGGGAGAGGCTGGTCAGCCTGTCTGCTCCAGCTCCCCTGCCCTCTGCCTCACAGCACTGCACGGAGAAGCCCTGCACCCCTCCACCCTGCCCCATGTGCAGCCTGGGTATGAAGTCCTCAGACTCTCTCGGGATGCTTCCATTCTCGCTGGCCTGTTCTTTCTCTAGAGAAACTGAAATTCCAGAAATCCCAACACAGGGATATCCAAGCCACCACGACCACTGATGACAGGATGACAACGATGGTGGTGGCCAACGCTGAGTGTCCGCTACGACCCAGACGCTACCCTCCCAACAGCACCGAGAGGCACAGGCCATTGTTACGCAGTGAAGCTCACGGGGCAGGCGTGTGCCCAGCTCACACGGCTAAGTGGTGAACCCCAATTTCAAACCCAGCAAACCCTGACCCCAACAATCTGTACTTTTAACCCGCTAGACCATGTGCATTCCAGAACTCCCCTTACGTTTGAAAGTAATAGGAAAAAATCATGCCCGACCACATCCCAGAAAGAATTATGACTTAGAAGACACAGTGTCGCCAGGGGAACCCGCCCGCCACTCCCTGGCAGGTTTCCTGAGCCGTCGCCCTGATGGCCCCACTGCCCGGGGAGCCTGGAGACCTGAGCGTCGTCGTCGTCATCCTCCGCCGTGCTCTCGCTGGGGTAGAGGTCCTGCACCAGGAGGATGAGGGCGAGCAGATCGGCCGGGCGCAGGGAGCTGGCGCTGTGGCTGCAGAGACAGGGGAAGGCAGTCCGTCAGCACGTGCCGGCAGATGGGGCAGGCAGGTTAGGGAAGATCAGCCCCTGCCCTCCAGGAGCTTGCAAATGTGCCAGCAGACTTAATCCTGTCTGGAGACAGGCAAGGTATGAATAAAATTTATTAGCTTATCAATTTTTAAGAGAAAACTTGCTTGGTTTTAAAAAGAAAAGAAAAAAAATTTACTAATGGGAAAGCACCAGGGACCAGTAACAGCATAAAAGGAAGTTCTCCTAAACTGAGGCTCTAAGACAGAGTGTTCCAGGAAGAAATAATCCAGACAGGTGAGTGAGCTGAAGAAAAGGGTAGAAGAACTGAATCTGGGAAGGCTTCCTGGAAGAGATGGCTCTGGGAGGCTTTCCTGGCATGGGAGGTGGTGCTTTTTAGGTAGGGGGAGTAAGCTGCAGGGAGGGTAGGAGCCAGGGGCCTCTGAGCCGCCACACAGGGACCGTGGGCTCACCTGGAGTAGAAGGCCAGCAGCTTGGAGTGCACGAGCAGGAAGGCGTGCAGGGCCTCCTCGCCGCCCCGCTCGGGGCTGGTGTTGACAGCTTGGACGACGTGCCGCTCCAGTGCCTCGATGCACAGCTCACAGAGCTGGGGGTGGATCAGCCGCTCCAGTGCCTGGCCCGCGGTGGGCAGGAAGAGGAAGCCATGTCACCAGCCACCCTCCCCTGCTCTAGGCCCTGGGCTCGTGGGCACATTCACTGTCCACACACTGAGCTGACACTATGCACCAGATACTTGGGAACAGGAAGACTGAGACCAGCTGGATCCCCACTTTCCTGGGGCTGTCTGGTTGCTAGACTCTAGTGGACAGGCAGACAATATGCAAGGAAACACAAAAGTAGGTGCCAACTGTAGTAGGTGCTGAGTAGAAAATATACAATGCTAAACTAGAGGAAAATGGCAGAGACCTACTTAGGTAGGGTGTCCAAAGAAAGGTCGCTGAGGAGGTGACTGATGTTTAAGTTAATATCTAAACAACTGGAGGCCTGCCAGAGGAAGAGGGAGAGGAAGAACACTGTACGCTGAGGACACAGCAGAAGCAAAGGCTCTGAGGTGGGGCGAGAGTTTGGAGCAAAGCTGTCCAACTGAAATATAAGGCAAGCCCTATGCATAATTTAAATTTTTCTGATAACCACATTTAAAACAGTAAAAAGAAACAGATGACATTAATTTTAATAATATATTTTATTTTACCCAATATATCTAAAACATTATCAACATATAAAAGCATTGTTTTGTGCTAAGTTACCACAATCTGGCATATATTTCACACATATAGCATAACTCAACTTGGACTAGCTATATTTCAAGTGTTCAATAGCCATAAGTAGCTAATGGCTACCATATTGGACAGATCTAAATATAGAGTATTCCTGAAACTGAAAGAAGTCCCATGGGACCAGTGCTCAGTGAGTAAGGACAAGAGAGGCAAGAGATGAGGCCAGGGTGAGACAGGCAGCAACAGATCCTACAGGGGCTAGTAGGCTTGGGAAGTAGTTTGGATTATATCTTAACTACATTAGGTCACCTCTTACAAGAAGTCTTTCCTGATGACTAATCCATCTCTAGTGCCACCATGGCTTTTGATGAGAAACCTAATATGGCAACCAGAGGCAGGGACTGTGTATTCATTCATCTCTGTATTCACAGGGTCTGACACACCTCCTAGCATATGACAGGTGCTATATATTTATTGGACGAGTGAATGAGTGAAGGTGTGAAGATTAATTCCTTCAGATCTATTTTCCAGTTCACTAATTCTCTCTCTAGCTATGTCTCATTTGCTATTTATTATAAAACACATCCCTGGAGTTTTTCGCTTTAACAATTATGTTTTCATTTCTAAAATATGTATATAGGCTCTTTCACGAATCTGCCCATTTTTCAGTTTTTTGCAATTTGTTCCTTTTTGTGAATCTACCTTTTGTATTTCAGTTTTTTATATTCTGTACCTAATAATTCTCATATATAAAGCTCCTTGGGACCTAAATCTGTTAGTGATTGATTCCCTTGATTCTAACTCATGGTGGTTTATTTTCTTGTGTGTCTAACCTTCTTTAATTGTGAACTCATATTTGTTTGATCTCAATTTGTCCTCTAAAGTGGTGGTTTTCAAAGTGTGGTTTGACTAGCACAATCAACATTACCTGGGAATTTTTTAGAAATGCAAATTCTAGAGCTCCCATCCCAAACCCACTTAATGAGAAACTCTGAGAGTAAGGGTCAGTAACTTGTATTTAACAAGCCCTAAAGATGATTCTGATATATACTGGGGTTCGAGAACCACTGATCCAGAGAGAATTAGTGTTTGCCTCCATAGGGCGCCAGGGAGTGCTACTGACCAAAGCCACTTTAGCTCCTCTGGTCTGGGCTTAACCTAGAGCTACAGGTTCAGCTTCTCTATGTTGCCTCTGGCCTAAGGCTATTTCGTGGCTGTAGTGTTGGTATCATTTGCATTCAGGACCATCTTGCCTTTAGTGCTGCTTTTTCCCTCCTGCTTTCCACTCTGGTTTCAGCTCAATGTAATTTTTGTGGGGGGAGAAGGGTTGAAGGGGCTATCTTCAGAGATTTCTATAATTTACAGTGAACCCCAAAACATTTAACAGTCTGTGTTATCCATGATCTAGCTATTTTTCTATGGGAAGGCCCATCAAAGAACCCCACTCACCATGTGGCCAGAAAAAATAACCGTCTGAATACATGTGTTTTAAAGTCAGCTTGTGCCTTCACTTGTTAGTGGCAAAATATGGTCTTAAAGCCAGATGCCCCTCTGACCTGACACCTCTGAGCCCTGAGGACTCCCACGCCCGGTAGTCACCTCCACTGCGAAACACTGCTCCTGCTCCCGCAGGTGGCCGTAGGTCTGCAGCAGACTCTGGAAGCGCTCCCACACCTGGACACGCTGCTCCAGATCTGAGGGCCGCAGCCTGGGGGCAGAGCCAGAGAGCGGGAGAGACCGTGAGAAAGCTGGTCTCCCCAGCCCCAACCAAAGGAGCACGGTCCCAGCTCAGCAACAGAGCTGGGAGAGCTCATGTGACATGGCCCTGTAACTGGGACAGCCACATAGCACAGGGGAGGCCGTGTTTCTGGCTGAGCCCGAGCTGTGTGTGTGTGTGTGTGGGGGGGGTGAGCATGGAACCTAGAGGCAGGCACCCGAGCAAATTGTCTCCCACACAGACATGTCGCACAAAGCCAGCTAGGGAGAGCCAGGGCGGTGCCTGAATTTCCTATGCCTCTCACAGCCCCTTCAGGTCACTGAAGCTGGAAAGCTCTAGTCTATCAGCAGAGCCACACACAGGGCCACAGCCACCTCAAATGCTGACGGGACCTGCACTGGGCATCACAACGAAACTGTGAGCTACCTGGGCTGGAATGACTCGGGAAACATTTGCCAACTTGACAAGTGCCTCCACATGGGCACTTGCTCATGTCGCCACAAAACTCAAAAGACCCAGAGTTCCAAACTTTGCTACTTCTCATCTACGTGGGAGAATTAAGGGGTGATCCCATCCTCACTTCTAGGCCTGCATTTCAACCACATTCCTTTTCTGGGGTCCCTCCCACCACTCTCTTTCCCTGACTTCTTTACTGCGGGCCTAGAGACAGGTTTGGGGGTCTCTCCCCTCAGAAAATGTTCACAAGATTGTGTGAGCGTGCACAGGCGTGCCCTGTTCTGGAGCGGGAATCTAAAGCTTCTTGAGAAGTCACTGAGGACTAGCTCAGACCAGGGGTGTAGGGACAGGCGACTGGTGTTAGGGGAACGGGACGAGCACTGGACTGAGAATCCTGAGCTCTGATCTCCAGACCGGGTGCTGCCACCAACCAGCTGGATGGTCCTGGGCAAGCTATTTAAATTCTCTGTCCCCAGTTTCCCATGTGTAAAATGAAAAGGTTGGAAAAGATGGTCTCCAAGATCCCTTTGAGCTCTGCTTCTCTGACTCAGAGACCCAGCCGGGGGCAGAGTGTGGAATGGCAGCCTCACAGAGGCCGGGCACCTGCAGTCTGGCCTAGCAATGGTGCTCAGAAAGGACATGGGGGGACCGGCTTTGAGGACTCACTCCTTTCGGATGAGCTGGCTGTCCACAGTCACCAGCCCAAAGTGCACCTCGAACAGGTACTTGAGCACGCACAGCTTCCGCCGAAGGTCCCCCTCAGTCTCTGTGTGGTCCCCATTGATTGCGATGAACAGGCACTCTCCAAACTGTAGGCACAGCCGGGCCAATGTCAGCGGGCCAATGTCAGCCAGCCCTTGGGCCCCCACTTCACCTGCCCGGATCTCTGCGCAGGAAGGGAAGGATGGGGTCCCCAAGGGACCTGGATAAAATGTAGCTTCTGCCTTCTAAAGGAGTCTGAAGTCCAAGATAGGGAGAGCCTCTGGACTCCCCAGAGTGAAGAGGGCTGTACTCACCAGGTGAAGGACATACAGGTGGCTGTCATTTTCCGTTGAGAAGCAGGTGTACGTGTCTGAGAGCTTCTCCAGCATCGTCATGGAGGAGATGATGACCGGGGCCAGGAGGGTGCTGAGCTGGTCCTCGAGGGCAGGGAGCTGTAAGAGGGGAGAAAAGGACACTGCTTAGAGTGGGCCAGACACTGGGGACAAGACCCAGGTCTGGACATTGAGGGCTCCACAGGGCCAGAACCCCCTCTGGGAGGTTTTCGCTGTCCTACTAGGGAGGGGGACCAAAAGACACCTTGGGTGGTGGTTAGGAAGGCTGGGAAGGGTGACCAGCTAACTGTGCTATTCAGGCTCAGAATCGAGAGGGAAGCACTAGGAACGAGGCTGCAGCACGACAGGGGACTGTGCGGAGCACAGGACCGAGAAGGAAGTTTGCTACAGCTCTGTGCTATTTGTTCCAGTAAGTCTTTGGAGAGTTTATACTACTGAAAATGACCAGAGAGGGGGACAAAGACACATGCACAAAGATGTTCACTACCGCAGTTTATTATAAACAACTGGAAAAAAAACCTTAATAATGTCCAGTACCAGGAAGCAGCTACATAAATTTTAGAACATCTGAACGATGGAAGAGTCCACAGCCACTCAAAATATCAGCGTGTTTCAATGATGTGGAAAATTCCTCTGATACAATGTTGTAGTAAAAAAAAAAAAAAAAAAAAGAGATGAATGCTCTGTATTTAAAAACGCATGGAAAAAAAAGCCAATGTGTTGAAAAACACTAAGAAAGTGAACACTGTTAATGTCATTACTTCTGGACAGAGGGATCATGAGTGATTTTTTTTCCTCTATTTTTATGTTTCTGGACTGTCCCTATTTTCCATAACATGTGTGCATTTACTCTGATAAGCTATTCCCCATCCATTCTCTCCACCCTGCAAAAGGAACAAAACACATAAACAAAAACCAAAGGAACTGCACAGATTTGTTGAAAACCTGTGAATAAAAATGGGATAAAGCCAGTGGAATGGTAACAACTCAAATTCTTCACAGTGGAATAAAAAGAAAGGAAGAAAACAGCAGACCTTCCCCGAGTGGCTTTCAGGAGACAAGAATGAAATATGGAGAAGGCGGAGCCTTAACTTGGAGCTGGGGAATCTACAAGGAGCTGAGTAAGACCTTGCCTTGAAAACAAAAACAGGCAATTGGCCAGCGGTAATGTGCGGCATTTAAAGATGAGTGGGGCATGGCAGTATTTTCCTGCCAACTTTCAGGAGCTGAAGACTGTGCCCAGCTCCAGCAGTCTGCCAGTCAAGCTTCCATAGTGGGTCCTTCTCATCCTCCGGTCCCAGCTCAGATGGCCCCTTTGCTGACCAACCACCCTCAGGCCGCCCCACCCAGCTACCCCATCCCATACCCTGTGTAACTCCTTCAGACCATTTGTCACTACTGAACTCCTGGTATTTACTTGCTATTTGGTTCACTGAACATCGTCCCTCTTTAGGCTCTAAGTTCCATGAAAGCAGGATTCATGTTGCTAAGTTCACTGCTTTGTCTCCCAGAGGCCGGCACACAGTAGGGTCTCAATTAAAATTTGCTGAAGGACTACCCCCCTTAGGCAAGAATAGGCAAGAATAAATGTTTGTTGAATTATTCACATACCATGATTTTCTTGAACTACTATGAACAAATTTCACTTAAAAATCTACATTGTGTTGGACACTGATACTTGCACATCTAATTAAAAAAAAATCTACATTGTGTATAGGAACTCATGTTAAAAGCAGCAGTCATGTGCCACATAACAGTGTCTTGGTCAACGATGGATCATATATACAAAGGTGGTTTCATAAGATTATAACACCATATTTTTACTGTACTTTTTCTATGTTGAGATATGTTTAGATATACACACACTTAGCACTGTGTCACAACTGCCTGCAGTATTCAGTACAGTAACATGCTATACAGGTCTGTAGCCTGGGAGCAACAGGCTGAACCATACAGCCCAGGTATGTAAGAGGCTACACCACCTAACTTTGTGTCAAGTGCATTCTATGACATTCACACAATGACAAAATTGCTTAATGATACATTTCTCCCACTATATCCCCACCACTGAGGCTTGATTGTAGCTTTTTCTGTAGATATATAACTTTTTTTTGGTGAGGGGAGATGAAAATTTTTGGTGTATGCAGAGTATAAAGGAGCATTGTCATATATTACTTGGTGGAATTATAAAGTGATACAATATATTTGAATGGTTTTTGACTCATTATTTCTATTTTTCAGAATTTATCCTAAGGAAATAATAAGATAAGGGATAAAATTCAAGCACAAATGTTCCTTACAGAAATAGTGACAGCAAACTAGAGCAGTATCTATGTTCACTATTGGGAAAATGGTTAAGTAAATGATACGTTTATTCACATACTAGAATATGATGCTTCTGTTAAGAATTATGCTTCTAATAATATTTAACAAAATGGAAGAAAGATCTTGATATAATGGCAAGTGAAAAAAACAGGAACTAAAACTGTAAATGTGGTATGATCCCAACTATATAGAAAAGATAAAGACTCAAAGAAAGATTTATATCAAAAATCTAATAGCTCTGGGTAGTAGAATTACAGGTCATTTAAAAAGTATTTCTTTGTGTTTCCAAATTGCCTACAATTAACTTACATTGTTATATTTCTATGGTCAGGAAAAAAAAAAAGGTGCTGCACCTAAAAAATAAAACTTTAGAGAATTTTTTCCTTTTTTGGCCCTGGCCCTGCATAGCCCCACCCCCACATGGCCCTGTCCTGCCCCTGCCTACGGCCCTGGTGCCCCCTATACTCCCATGCCCTGCGCAACCTGTGCAGCTGTACCTGGCCACCTTGGAGCCCACTTAGCTCAAGGATGACAGAGGGGCATCTGTGGGTGTCCACAGTATGCACCCAGTATGACAGAAATGCCCATGACCAGTCCACCTTTGCAAAGGCTGCTTCTAAAACAAAGAGTAACCAACCTTCCCACGCTGCTCCCTCCATGCCAGGCCCTCCCCTGAGGGCTCTGCACAAACACCTTCAAAGACTTTCCCTTCACACTAGACATTTAGGAACTGAAAAATCAGCAGTTTGTTTCTTTACCAGGTTATAAAGAGGAAGAGAAAGCCTGCCAAATGCTTTGCTTCTTAAATTGATCTAGTTGAAACAGTAGAAATATTTACAACCGAAATACCTAAAAATTCTTAATTTAAAAATTATATGTATTGGCTGGTAAAAAAAAATGAAAGAGCCTAACACACAGTCCTAATTTTAGCCTAAATAAAATCACCTGTATGTCCATAATCTCTAGTATCTTGTCTTCTCCTACAGACTATGACGAGAATATTGGTGATGCTGCTGGTGGAATAACCTGCTGAAGTGGAGCTGGCTCATGCGTCGGTCGGACGACCTGGCCCATTAGAGCAGGAAGGGCAAGAGAGGAAACCGATCTGTGCTGCTGCAGAAATGCAAATTCTCTCTACTACATCCCCAGTAAATTTTTTTTTAATACAGAATTAATCTAGAAAAATTTTCAACATAAATTTCTCCTTTAGAAGGTAGAGTGGAAATTATATAAGTGAAAATGACAAGTATTTCTGAGTTGTACCATTAAAGTGTTACACTAGATGTCCACATGAAAACAAACAAACAAACCATGATCCATACCTCACACCATATACAAAAACTCAAAGATCATTAGACCTAATATAAAACCTAAAACTATAAAATTTCCAAAATAAAATATAAGAAAAATGCTGTAATTTTGGGTTGGGCAAAGATTCCGTAGCTATGACACTAAAAGCATAAGCCATAAAAACGAAATGGATAAATTGGAGTTACCAAAAATTAAAAACTTCTGCTCTTTGAAAGATACTACGGCATTAAGAGAATATAAAGAAAAGCCATAAACTGGAAGAAAACATTTACAAAACATATATTTAATAAGACTTGAATCCAAAATGTATTCGAAGTCTCAAAACTCAGTAACAATAGTAAGGAGAACAATCAACCTAAATAAAAAATAGGCAAAAGATATGGCAAATTAACACATGAAAAAGTGTTCAAAATCATTAGTCATTAATGAAAAATTACAATGCAATCAGATTCTAGTAGACATCTATAGAATGTCCAAAATTAAAAAGATTCTATTAGCAAGGATATGGAGGAACTGTAACTCTCAAACACTGTGGGTGGCATGTAAAATGACACAACCATTATGGAAATGTCAGGCAGTCTCTTAAGAAGTTAAACATACACCTATGTGATCCAACCAGTCTACCCTAAGCATTGGTCCATGAGAAATGAAAGCATGTGTCTATACATAGACTTGTACATGAATGTTCACAGCTGCTTTATTTGTAAGAATCAACTGGAAACAACAGAGATGTCCATCAACAGGTAAATCAATAAATTATGGCATATTGGGACAGTAGATTACTACTCAGCAATGAACTACTGATGCATGCTACAACATGGATGAACCACACAGTAACTATGCTGAAAGAAGCCAAACCCAAACCCAAACCAAACTAAACCCAAGTACATACTGTATGAGTCCATTTATATAAAAGCCTGTAACATACAAAGTAAGCTATCATGACGAAAAGCAGATCTGGGGTTGCTGTGGGGTGGGGGTGGCCGAGGGCTTATACCTTTGGTGTGGTAGATATGCTCATTTTATTGATTGTGATGGAATCAGGTATATATACATATCACAGCACATCATACTGTGCACTTTAAATATATGCAGTTTATACTGTGTCTATATATGTACATACATATATACCTGAATATAGCAGTTTAAAAAATTAATGTGAAACGTATGTTAAACTTTTTACGTGGAGAAACTAATGACACTAAGTTTCTCTGCTGTGTGATTAAAATTCAACTCCTCTTGCCCGAATTTAGCCCAGTGAGCCCTGGTGGGGTGGGGTGGAGGTCCCTGCACTCAGGAGACGGAGCTCCGAAGACACGAGTCTAGGTGTGAAGGACGCTGGACCATGCACACCGCCCTGCTGATTCCTCAGGCTGGCCCAGGAGAGTGAACACAGCTCTCCTGCCTCCTTGCCTTTGGGAGTTTTGTGCTCTTCCCTCCCATCCACCCTCCTGGGACCACCCACCCCACACTCACCTCTTCCTCCCCATTCTCTGGCTGCCCAAACTTCAGCCGGAGACTCTCTTCAAACTCCTTGTCTGTCCAGTAGAAGAGGACCTCTGCACCCTCAGTGGTCACCAACACACACTTCATCTGCCAGGGAGAAGCAAGTCAAGGTCACCCCCGACCCCTGTCTGGGAGCTCAGCCTGAGTAAAGAAGAGGATCCCAACCCCAGCAAGCATTCATGGACCCCTCTGCACACCAGGCTCCACCACAAGGACTTCCTGGTGTTACTGTCACACCATCACAGCCTGATAAACAGGGCTCTTTGGTTACCCCCATTTTAAAGGGCAGGACACAGGCACAGCTAGAAGTGGCAGAGTTGGAATCTGAACCCAGACCTGAGGCCAAGGCTAGGGCTCTGTCCTGTGTTGTGTAGCTCCTCTCACCACAGCATCAGACTCACCATGGGGCCTACTAGAATCAAACCCCGTATGGAAGGGACCCAGTTCTTGGTCTGGGTCCGCACAGAACCAACTGTGCGGGAACCTGGTCTGGAATGGAGGGCAGCCCCTAGATCTTTCCCTTAAATAAAAAACAGCTCAAATAATGGAGACTCAGACTTGTGGGGGGAGGGGGGGAAATGGGCATTTATTGAAACCTTTAAATCTGTACCCCCATAATATGCCGAAATAAAAAAACAAAACAAAACAAAAAAAAAAACAGCTCAAGAAGATGAGCCTCAAAGTCCATGAGGAGTTTTATGTTGGCATCACAGAAATTCCATTCAAAAGCTCCCCTGCTCTTGGCAGAAACAGAAGCTTCCTAAGGACCCTGTGCACGGTTCCTTCTCACACCTGTTTAGCTGCCACTTCTTTGGCCACATCCAGCAGTGACCTTTAACCCTTCCCAATCTCCTTCCCCACCACCCACTTGCCCACCCTCTGTGCTTGGTTGTATGAGAGATGCGTTTTACTATTCACCCACTGGTAGATTCTCAATACAGAGCTTCCCACACTGTGCCTTGGCCCTGAGGTACAGCAAGACATCGATCCTCTAAAACTCTGGGGGCCTAAGTCTGGCAAGGCCAGAGCTCCAGGTGGCAGCTTGCAGCTGAGGCCTCAAGCAGGGGCTTCAAATCCTCTTGTGTGTCTCAATGTGCAAAGCAGATGTGACCATGTTGTACGTGCTTGGCATGGCAATGATTAGGAAGGTCTGCTCTAGCTCTCCCACGAGTGGCTGCCTGGCTTCCCCTGAAGGATCACAGCATCTCTGGCCTTGTGCTCCATCATCTTGAGGATCCCTGTGTCTGGCTTAGTGATGCTTAGTGAACTCCTCCCACATGCTAACTCAGAGCACCTGGCCCCAAGGTGTTCGCAGGTGAGTGTGGGGAGATCTGGCAGCACAGGGAACAAGGAATGCAGCCTATTACCACGGAGTTGCTGAGCACTAAGGCAGAAAAGGGCAGAGGCACAGGTGTGGAGAAGAGGTTGCTGGGAGAGAGCAGGTGGACCTGAAGACGCTGCTCTGGGACTCCTGGCAGAGTGTGACAAAGTCAAGTGTTTGCAGGGACAGCCTGACAGGAAGGAAGTGTGCGGGATGGGGAAAGGCAGGCTCTGGACAGGCTGGCTGGAGACTGGTGAGGTCAAGGTCGTTGAGGCCGGTCATCTGGGTGTGAGGAAATGAGCGCTTGCTCCTTGGTGGGGCTGGGACAGTGGAGAGGAAGGGGCCAATTCAAGAGCTGCAGCTAAGTGACCTAGCAGGCCTTGATGACCGCCTGGATGCAAGGGAGGAAGGAGAGATCGTCACCAGCGTGAAAGTGACATCAGGATGCAGAGCTGGACAGCAGAGCCCACAGTGCTCTGCCCACTGCCCACCTCACTCTGCTGCCTCGTACAGCCCTGGGGTGGGGGGTGCTGTCTCCCTCCCTGTCTGCCCCAGGTGGGCAAGATCATCTACCTCGGCACGGAGCACGGCAGAGCCTCCAGAGAGCCAGAGGTGCAGGAAGGGCTGCAGTAGACAGACTTGGTGACCAGCTCATGGGAGAGCAGCACAGCATCCTTGGTCCTGCAAACGCTTAAAACAGAGAGTGTGAGGGCAAGCGAGACACTCTAGGCCTGACTGCTGCACAACCTGGAGAAGGGCTGTGTGGTTCGGGTCTCTCCAGGCCCTGAGGCAGTCTGCTCAGAACACACCCCAGCGTCTGCCCCTCACCTCCATCATGGAGAACAAGAAGAACCTGGCCAGCACCGCCCACTCTCACTTCTATGTGGGTCACTCAGAGGTCCCCAGCAGTTCAGGGAGCCTGCTCTGGGTGACCCATGGGAGACATCCCAGGCCCGGGGAGAAGCAGTCCCAGTCCCAGCGAAGAGAACAGGTATCCCGGATGGCTGTGGCCAATGGCAGTAAACCATAGCAGAAACGGCAGCGGGACCGGGTGTTGTAACAGTTTTGGTTTTGCCAAGTCACACCTCCCTGAACCTAAACCTCCTGGTGTGAAATGGAGCAACAACCGCCAGCTCCGCCTTGTTGCAGGATTAGAGGCTTCGCGAGCTCTGCCGTCTTACAGACCTAGGGGTCTTTATTCTTATTTTCCAGCTTCCCTTCAAATAACAGGGTAGGCAAAACTGGTTCCCGAATCATTCATATTCTGATAAAAGGTAGGTACCATATAAAACATAATCAAGAAATCAAACACTGTAAATAAATAAGGGGCAAGTGACTCCTAGGCACAGAGAAAGGGCTATTTGGGGTTCAGCATCTTTTGCAACCTAACTCTGAGACCAGCTCCACTACCTGCATGATTGACCTTAATGCATGTCACCAGCATGAAGGTGACATCATGCTGGTGATGTCATGACCAAGTTTCCCCAAACATGGGGATGCTTTCAGAGGACAGTAGGTTCTGTTTTTTTTTTTTTGTTTTTTTTGTTTTTTACCAAAGTCTGTTGGAGAGAGAACCCAGCTGGTGTCATTTTGTGACTTCCGTGTTCTCCTCGCTGTCCTGCTCTAGAGAGGGAACTCAGAGGGGACTTACTGGTAAAGGAAGCCCCAGACAGCGCTGACCAATCTGAAGGGAAAAAAAAAAAACCAGCGCTCACTGTCGCCATCCGGACCCCGGGCCCTCCGCAGCGAACTGCCCCTTCCGCCTTCGGTCCAGCCCTCCGGCAGCTCAGAGCTCCGGCCCTGCGCCCGGGAAGGAGACCCCGAGGCCCCGGGGGCGGGGACCGCGTCGCTGCCGAGCGGGAGGCGCGGTTCGCGCCGCGGGGCGCCCACCCAGGGCAGGTTTCCTGTTTGCCCCGCACGCCAGTTTCTGTCCGGTTTCACCCCAAAATGTCCACCTCCCCCCACCCCCGCTCCTCACGGCGACCTTGGGAAAGAGGCTGCGCTGGTGACACCACCCCGCTTCAAGGCTGCAGAAACTCTGGCTCGCAGAGGTGAGGCGACCCGCCCTCGGCCACACGCCCGCCGCGGCCAGGGGCCGCTCCCCCGCTCCTGCGGCCCCTGCCCCACTTCCGGAAGGGCTGCGGGGACTCCCGACGAAGCCCCTCGCTCACCGAGGGGACAGCCAATGGACGCGCTTCACCGCCATGGGAGGCCACGTACCAGATCGCGGACACACCACACACCCGGCCTGCTCCGAGCCGGCGCGCTTCCGGGCCGGCCGCGTGACCGCCCACGTGACCGCCCCCCGCGGAGGGGCTCTCCTCTCCTTCCGCGGTGCAAGCCCCGCCCCTGCCGGCCGCGCCGCGCGCTCCCGCTGGGCACCCTGGCCCGGCCGCCCCGAATCTGGCCGTCCGGTGGCCGCGTGCCTCCCGTCAACACGGAGGGCGCTGAGGCCACAGGGTTGGGGGACGTGTCCACAGCCGTTGAGGCGCCGGCGATGTGTCTCGGCATTGTGCTTGGCCCTTCCACTTGCCTCAGCTCAAGTGATTCCCCACCAAGGCACTGCGACCGTCCCAATTTAGACCCATTTTACAGAATGGAAACTGAGGCTCGCAGAGAAGAAATAACTTGCTGCGGAGCCAGACTGGGATCAGAATCCAGGTCTCCTGGCTCCTTGCTGGGCTCTTTCTCACCTCTGGCTTTACTTGCTGCACTGTGGTTTTGGGGCGAGAGCTGCCCATTTGTGACTGCTTTCCCTGACCTCCTGGGAAGGAGACACAATACAAAGAAGGACCGGTTGCCCCAGAGGGCCAACGCTGGGGTTTATTTATAAGGGTTCTCAATCCATTTGGGAGTGAGGTGCACATTAGGAGTTTTATCTTCAACCTGTGTTTGCAAGATTTATTAAAATTGTATGTGTATTTGGGATGGCTGAAGGAGGCTGCTGACGTAGATCGTGGCAGGGGCTAAATCCCCACACAAGCCACCCCTCAGTGCCTTGGTGCCACCTGTGAGCTTTGTGCCCAGCCCTGCAGGGGATGGGTGCAGAGTCTGGCTGAGAATACAGAAGATTGAGCATCCCTCGGGGGAAAGGCAGGGGCCAAGAACTAATGCCTCCACCAGGTCCAGATTCCGGATACTGTGTAAGTGAGCATCACTTGTCCCCCGCTCCCCCACTACCCACCCCTCCCAGCCCACTTTAGGGCAACTTCCAACTCTGTCTGCAGCCCACAGCCCCATCAAAGGCATCTCTCTCCCCGGCCCACAGTTGAGATTGTTCACTCACTATGTTTCTCTCTTGTGTCAAACTCTTCATGAACATGAATTTCAGCGGCTGAATAAGTTCTATTGAATGGATATGCTGGTATTATCCATTTCCCTACTAGTAGTTTCCATTTCCCAACAGCAATGCATGAGGATTCTGATTTCTCCACATCCTCACCAAAACTGTTGCTGTCTGCCTTTTTTATTATAGCCATCTTAGTGGGTGTGGAGAGGCATCTCCTGATAGTGATTTGCATTTCCCTAATGACTAATGCTGTTCAGCATCTTTTCATGTGCTTTTGCCCATTTGTACATCTTCTTTGGAGAAATGTCTATTCAAGTCCTTTATCCATTTTTAAATTATTTGTCTTTCTTACTGGGTTATGAGAGTTCTTTATATATTATGGATACCAGCCCACTATCAGATATGTGATTTGCAAAAGCTTTTTCCCATTATGTGGCTTGTTTTTTCACTTTCTTAATGGTGTCATTTGTAGCACCAAAGTTTTTAATTTTGATGTAATCCAATTTAGTCTATTTTTAGTTACATGTTTTTGTGATAGTGTAAGTTTCTTTTTCCAATTTTTTTACTGTGGTAAAATACACATAACATAAAATTTACCATTTATCCATTTTTAATTGCACAGTTCCGTGGTATTAAATAAATTCATAAAGCTGTGCAGCTTTTCATTATCCATCTCCGTAACTTTCCACTTTGTAAAACTGAAGCTCTATACCCATTAAACAATAATTCTTCTTTCCCCCTGCCCCTTAACCCATGCCAACCACTGTGCTACTTTCTGTCTCTGAATTTAATTACTGTAAGTACATCATGTAGGTGGAATCATACAGTATTTGTCTTTTTATGACTGGCTTATTTCACTTACCATGATATCTTCAAGGTTCATTCATGTTGTAGCACTGTGGTCCCCAACCCCTGGGTCACGGACAATACCAGACAATACTGATGCCAGTCTGTGGCCCATTGGGAACTAGCTGCACAGCAGGAGGCGAGTGGCTGGCAACAAGGAAGCTTCATCTGTATTTACAGCTGCTCCACAAGCTTACTTCACCACATACGCTCCACCCCGTCAGATCATCAGGGGCACTAGATTCTCATAGGAGCAGGAAGCCTGGTGTAGACTGCGCGTGGGAGGAATCTAGGTGGTGGCTCCTCATGAGAATCGAATGCCTGATGATCTGAGGTGGAGCTGAGGGGACGACGCTAGTGCTGGGGAGCGGCTGCACATACGGATTATCATTAGCAGAGAGGTTTAATGGAAGGCATTTTTTCCAGGGACTAGGGGGTAGGAGATGGTTTTGGGATGAAAAAAATAAAAAAACAGTGAGTGAATGTGGAAGGAATGATGGAATTATAATATCACTATCACTATTGGGCAACCACTAGAAAAATAATAAAATTACTTAACCATAAAAAAAAGAAAATAGAAGGATGTTAGAATACCTTCCATTTACCTGCTTGCAGTATGTATACTGTTATTGTGAAACATTTTAAATTCTATATATATTGTAAATCCCATGAGACATTATTATTGTTTTATATTTTAGATTTTCCCACACAATGAATTACCCTTTATGTTGCTCTTCATTTTTTTCCTGCATCTCCCGTAGCATTATTTTGATTGTTCATTCTTTTTCTCCCTATCTCTCTCTCCATCTTTCCTTTCACTGCCCCTCCAGTTTTCTCACCCCTCCCCCTGCCCACCCATACCCAGACATAGTTGAGTTCCAGGACATAAGGTACACACATGATAAAAGTCTACTACGTACAGATGCTGCTGCACTAATCTCATGTACTTGTCTTAAAGTTCAATTCAACTAATTTCTCACAAGTGAGGTCAATCTTTTTCTTTTAAAAACCTAATAAGGTGAGTATCCCTTGGGGCATGCTTAGTTTCCATTAAATTTTCAGTAAATGGCTGCTTGGAAGAAATTTGGATGGCAAGCGTCAAGTGATTTTTTAATATCAAGGAAAAATCATGACATTATCCCTGGGGATAAGGGGATCTTCAAATCACGTCTGTGTTGAATTTCACAAGCATGCATTCTAAAAGGCACGTTGCATTTATGTAGAAATAGGAACAAAAATTAAAGCTATTAATAACTTTAAAACTTCTTAAAAGGATATATCCAATGTATAAGTCAACGTGAGGAGGAAATAGGAAAACAGCAGCAGCTGGAGCAGGGACCATCTGACAAAGGAATCAGACAATAGGGAGTTTCAGGTGGCCTTGGAGTTCACTTAACCCAAAGTTCTCATTTTACAGATGAGGACATTGAGGTCTGGAGAGGCTGAGTGACTTGTTTTCTAACGTTGGTAGAGTCAGTGGCATAGAGTTGTTGTGATCTCCAGATGTGGAGGTTCATTCGATCTAGAGTGTGGTTCTCCAGTGACCCTTCAACCCCTTTGCTATTTGAGATTTCAGATTATATTTTTGACATGTCCAGTAGAAGGAGCAGCATCTAGTACTATGTACATCCTAACTAGAGAGCAGGAGAGCAACAGAGATTGTTTTCTGATGAAAATCAGCTAAGCAGTGGGAGAGGCGGGAATTTGGGAGTAGAGGAGATGAAGAAAAAAGCTCTTTTAGGTCATTATGGAGTGTGCAAAATATGGCCTGTGGATTTAGATACCACCACACACAAATTGTATGTATCACTCACTTGATGTCAAATCAACTGGAAGGAACTAATATCACTGACTTATTCTCTGGTGTTCTAGCATCCATCAAAGTGTGGTGTTCCTCTTCCATGAAATATAGCTGTTGTTGGAAAGTGGCTGCCTTGGCTAGGGACTTTACTTCCTCCCCCTAGCATCCAGATGGGACCACGTGACTGACTACTGGCAAATGGAATTGAGTGGAAAGGATTTATGCCAATTCCAGGTTAGGCCCCTAACTACTCCCACGCAATCCTGAATGCTCTCTCTCCTTGTCTGCCAGCTGCATGTTGAAGCTCATAGCAGCCTTGGAGGGAAGTGCCAGATGGTGGAGGCCTACATCAGTCCAGATGCTTGAATGACTACAGGGAACAGAACCCTGCCCCCTTCCCCACTGCTACCAATTGAACTTTACATGAGTTATGAGCAAGAAATAAACTTTGTGTTGAGCCATTAAGATTCTGGGGTTTACCTGTTATTATAGTCAATACTTTACCTAATATAATCAATGACATCTAACTTGAATTATAAAATTTAATTTCTACTTAGAGTAGTTGAAGCACAGCGTGTGAGGGAGGGGAGAGGGCAACACACAGTGAAATGAAAGATCCCCAGCATGTGTTAGTTCATCAAGCAGTCAGTCTTAAGGTCAAAGTATAGTGCAGATGCCTTTCCCTGCAGAACCCCCTGAGAACTGAAAGTTCGAATAGTCACATTTTATCACTAATAAAACATTACCTCAAAATATAAATTACCTCATGGACCCCAGCTCTCTGCAATCACCAGGCTCATATAAACCATAATATAATCTGTTTTCTGGAAGAAAATATTAACACCTGTTAAAATCCCCTGCACAGAGAGGAAACTTTCTGGGAGGTGTCCCTGCATTCATTTTGCCTACTTCTAGATGAATAAAACTAAGCTTTCTTTTTGCTTCTTCCAAAAATATAATTTATCATATAACATTTACAACTTGACAAAGACTTCTAGAATATTTTCATGAATAATAATCAGAAGAGTAATGTTCATGTAGGAAAGGTCCCTTTCTGTGTTGGGTGTGCAGGACCCTGGGATTCTTTCATGATCCAGTCACGTGGAAGTTGGTCAGCTCCTGTTCAGTGCTCCCAGCACTGACAGGGGCTGCCCTGGTGTTTGGATGGAAGTGGTGCCAAAGAGCTGCTTTGTTAGATTTTGACTTCCTTGTTTTAGAGTGGTATTTCCAAATACTACCCCCAGGACAATGGTTAATGGATATTAAGTCTGGAAAGACTAAATAAAACAGAGACTTCCAAAACCCTGGGTGGTGGGGAAAGGGGAGCTGTATGTGTGGGTGCTGATTG